AACGGATGACAATATAAATAAAATCGTGTATTACACACATTTACATACGCATTTAGGCGCATATCTAACTGATCCTTAATCATATGGTATAGATTGTTTTACCGAATAAAGCGTCGCTAAGAGGTTAATGTCCCATCCTAATCGCCATTCCTCCCAGTCATGATCCGAACAGAGAGCAACAATCACGCACACCAAACTTCCCACCCCATTCATTAGACTTGTGTTCCAATAAAGTCCTCCAAGTTCCTTGCCTATTTTTGCCTAAACCAAGATTTTGCGTTGTCTTCCAACTTTTTATCAACGTACATATATAATAACTAATAGCTCTTTATTTTGTCAATTCTAGTTTATACTATGTTTAAATTTATATTTGAACAACAATGTGTACATATAAATGAATTACTTAGATCTATATATAAAGTTCTTTGTTAGAAATACAGTAATATTCTACTTAAACTTGGAACAGAAATTAAACAAAAGCGAAAAAATATCATTAGTTTGTAGTTGATTAATTTCATCCACGTATAGTTTACCATGTTGCTAAATAAAATGATATTTTTCATTACCAAACACAGATGAGGCATCTCAAACAATCAAACCCTAGATCCCAAGTAATTTGCAGTGGGATCCAAAAAAAATGCTTCATTTATTAAACTAGCCGAGGGATGATATGGAGAGAGGAGGGGAAAGTAACACTTGCCTGAAATAGTAACCAAAGTGATGTTGAAACGTTACTGCCAAGAACCATAAGAACCCCTGGGATTGACATGTGGTGGTTAGTAGTGGCTCGGCCAGTATTCGAGCTTTTGAGTAAGTCAACGTGTGTTGACCATATATGAATCTCAACACCTTTGTAGAATACAAACACGAGAGCTCCACATGCACCAAGCAGTGTCCCCACCAGCTTAGCCCTCCCTTCGTTTGATCCCAGTCGTAGAGTTTCCATCCTGTTGGCTCAACCACAAATCGACCGAATGTTAAATTAGAATTAAAAGTGCTATTTAGCCTTTTGATTTCTCATCAGCTAGAAATTATTCAATCTTTAATGAGTAGAGCAAGTTTACAAATAAGTTAAGCATTGATAATATTCCTCGGTTTTCGAAAGTTTAACTTTTTTGATTAATTTACTATGCGCACGAGATAAAATTGTTGACTTTGTACTTATAGTCAGTAACTCACTATGTTGTATAAAGTTAACAGAAAACGTCAAATATATAAAAATTGTATATAAAATTTTGAGAATTTTGCCTGCATATATAAGAAAATCTAAAACATTTAATTCCATGAAATGAAGGGAATGATTGTACAATTTCAAAAATTAATGAAATAAAGTTTTGTGTCTAACCTAAACACCAAACCCAACACCAAGGTGATCAATGGGCTAATTATGCTGGTTGCAGCTGAAAATGTCGCTGATGTTCGAGCCATACCCGGCAAATAGAGAATATTTGGTATCGCCGCTCTGTATAATAGTCAAAAAATTATTATAATCGCCATGCAACGATAATTCCAAGGGTGCTAATGACTGGTTTTAGTTGTGATTTGGCCTTCCCAACATTCATCATTTATTCAAATTTACACATTGCAACACTGTTTTATCTATGAATTGAGATTATTTCAGTATTTTCTCGCATCAAAAAAATAAATAAAAGCACCAAAATTTCAGCTAAAAACTGATATTGTACTAGTTCTGAGTACCCGAGCAACCCCGAAACAACTGCTATTAAGAGCAGCCTCCATGTAAATTCTGGCCGCTTCTTCCTGATCACAAGGAATCCAAAACAAACCATAGAGATGTATAAGGTTATACATTAAAAATGCACAATGATAACAATAAAAATGTTAAAGAAAGTAGGAAACCTTTGGAAGATGAGGGCGAGGGGAAGCATGAAAAGAGTAGCAAAGGACAGACGATACGCCACAAGGACTTTGAGATTCGTACCATCGTCGACCGTTAGCTTAAACAAAATGAACATTCCGGCGAACATAAACTGAACCGCCACCATTGCAACTACACCCTTCATTTCTCCCCACATTTCTCTAATTTCTCCCCACAATTTCTGGTTTTTACTTTGATACCCACTCTAACAATTAACGACCCGATGCTCCTGAGCTCATGATGATCAGCTTTATTTATCTAGCCAAGGTGTTTTCGTCTTTAATTCTACCCCTATACCTTTTTCATTGTGCTCCACTTCAATTGTAGATACCGTGAACAAGTTAAGGGATATAGGAAGATGTGAGATTCAAATATTTGTTTCTGGAAACCCGTTACAAAAGTAGCAAAGTTTGGAAGGATTAAACCTTCTTGGTGAATGTGTAGAAAGAAAGAAAAAGAGAGTTTATGTGTTGAAATGTATATTCATGATCAAAGTGAAAACAGAATGCGAAGTGAAGACGTAATGCAAAAATAAGACGAAAGTGTTTATAGTCGTTATAATGAATATAATGGACCTACACAAGCTTTCAAGAGCGTTTCACTGCAAAATAATCTTTTTTTTTTTCTTTTTTTTGCATTTGTTATAAAATGACAAGAAAATTATTATACAATTACATCGATGCCAAACATTCTTATACGAACGGTAATACGTTTTACTATTTGAGCCAAAATGACAATGCAGAAACATGTTAGGTGCTATTAACTTTTATTAAAACATAATTGTGAAGTTAAACAAGATCAAAATAAAAGTAACATATTAGGTTGACGTTGACACGTGCTAAGCATGCTTTGTGGCTTTCCCTAGATGGCTTTGTCACACACAAGAACTCCAAAAGAGAGAAAAGTGCTCCTAAGTCATTATTGTCAGTAAGCAACATGCGTACGTAAAGCCATATACACTTGGTAAAGATCCAAATTTGGAAGTTTTGAGTTTGGGTTCTCTTTCCATTCTTATACTCTCTTTCATGTGACTTGCATACTGTTTTAAAGATGATAGATCCAAAAATGAAAACTAAGTATCGATACATACAAATAATAAGATTGAGGGAAAAAAAAAAAGTTCTATTCATACTGACTCAAATTAATGATGAAATTACCTAGGAAAAATCTCTCCAAAGATTATTTGTAAATTTGTTACAATTGTTTGCAAAAATATAATTAAAATGTCACACAATAGAACGTTATGATGCCCCAATTAAATGTCATTTTCTATCATTTTCATTTATGCCAGAGATCGAGCCACCATCAATATATACCACTAGCAACAATAATCTCGAACGATTTTTGTGTGTTTGATTTCCCCTGACGGAACTAATTCCACTCATCTCTTGATCTTTTCCCATAGCACACGATATATATCCCACATACAATCAATATTGCTCCAAGTACACTGAATTTTGAAAATACTTTTAGTGTATGCATGCATATATAGTTTCTCAAATCTTAATAAATGTAATTAATGTCTTTTACTTTCCCAAATAAGCATTTCGTCCAAGAACAAAACACAAGCCACGGCGACAACTACGAGCATGAGAGTGTTGAAGATAGCTAGCTACAAAGAGTGGACCCTTAGTCCAAGAACAAATTGCCATTAGTGTCACTCCTTGTTCAAAAAATCGCTAGGCGTTAGTCGGGCGCTCGAGCTGGGCCTAGCGCCTAGGCGGAAAATCGGATATTAATCGGGGATTAGTTTTATGTATTATTTTATTTTATTTAATGTTAAAATTAAATAAATATATGTTTTATGCATTAATGTGTTTAATGTAATGTTAAAAAATAAATATATTATGCTATGTATATAAATATTCAAATAATTGTCAACAAAAAATTAATTTTGGCAAAATTGATCTTGAGGAAACTCTTTTTTTGTGTGTCTAATACAAAATAGTCAATTAATATATAAATGTAGTATTTAAATTAATGTTTATTATCCAGATTTTATGGATTAGGAAATGATCCAACGTTGATATTTTTTAGTAATAAATAATAGAATTAATTACAAAGACCAAAAAGGAGGAAATAAAAGAGAAATGGGAATTGGTTACTAAAGAAGTAAAGATAACGAAATAAAACATTCGTTAACATCAAAAGTCCCACATCGGTTAGGCAAAAGAAAGAGAACTGAAGACTTTGCTTATAAATACTGCACTCTCAACCCATCTTGTATTAAACCATCGGTAAAGCTGAAGCCCAATTAATAATTGAGGCCCAACAAATAAAAGCTTTACAAGTTAGAACTTTATTTAATCGGTTATTAATCCGATTTTCAACGCCGAGAGTAGTTAGGCGGTCCAAAAATCGGTCAACGTTTAATTAGTCCGATTAGGACATAATCACGGCGGTTGTGTCCCGAGGAGCGCCTAGGCGGCCGACTAGGCGGCTAGGCGCCCGCGTTTTTGAACAGGGGTGTCACTACTAGTGGCTGTTCCCAGTCTTTCCTATACGTTTACATTATAATTTCGAGCATTCATTCATATGATTTATATAATTCAGTATCAACTATTAAGAGGTTTAATATCTTTTACATTTTTTTGAGGTACCATTTTTAATTGTTTTTATAAGATTAACTTAAGATCTTAGGTTTTTGACAAAAACTAAAAACACTAGTATTTTATTTCAATTTAAATTATTTTTCAAATTACAGTAAACCAATTTTTTTGAAAAATAGTTTTAATTAAAATAAAATTTATCCGCAATCAAGTATGTCGGCTAACAGTCTAAAATTAAAATAAAATTTATCCACAATAAAAGTGATCAGAAATCAAGAATGTTGTCGGCTAACAAACTAAACCAAATTATCAGCAAACCAAAAAGTTTCATTTTAAAAATCCTAAAGCGGCCATGCCCACACCCTCCAATGACAAAAAGTTTAGGCCCAGATACTAATAGCTAAAAGGCCGAAAACGGGCCGGACCCGGGTCGGGTTGAATTAGGGGTCCAGATTAATAAAATAAAAAACGAATTAAAGCAGAGAAGGGAACGAGGGTTTCAGTTTCCTGAAGAAAAAGTGAAAGGAGCTTAAGAAACAAAGCCGTTCACTTTCGTTCCTCTCACTTCCATACAACATTTGAAACCTCAGCTATGCCTAAATCAAAGCGAGACAGACCAGGTTATAGCTCTTCTTCCTTCACTCTTTCTGCTTCTTCTATTGTCTTAACCATTGTATCTCTGTTATTGGTTTGGGAAGCTGTAACTTTTGTAGCCGCCGTCCAGGGTTTTAGGGTTTTGTAAGGTTTTCAGAGGAACCCTTTTGAGAAAAACCTTAACTTGTTGGAGTCTGTAATGTTCTTTCATAGTTTCTATGGTTTGAATCGATTGATGGATGGTTATCTAAAGATTTTTGCTTTTTGATTTTTGCTGCAGTTACTTTGTCTAAGACGAAGAAGAAAGGAAGAGAGCATAAGGAGGGTATTGTGGATGGAATTAGGGAGGCTGTTGATAGATATTCTTCTGTCTATGTTTTCTCTTTTGAAAATATGAGAAATATCAAATTCAAGGAGTTTAGACAGCAGTTTAGGCACAATGGAAAGTTAGTTTCTTTCTTATTCTTCTTGTTGATGTTAGAATTACGAGTTAATCATGAAGAGATTGGTGTTTACTTGAATGTTATTAAAACATTAGTATCTTTTACATTTAGGGTTTCGATTATGGTTTTGGTTATGACTGATTCGGTTCTTATTTGTCTAGGTTCTTCCTAGGTTCGAACAAAGTGATGCAGGTTGCTCTTGGTCGCTCTGCTTCTGATGAAGTCCGTTCTGGTATCTACAAAGTTTCCAAGGTTTGTGTAATCTGCTTCTTACAATGGTTCTTCTATATGTTAAATGCCCTTTTTTTGTCAGTTAGATTTACATAAGTTGTGCAATGTTGTTTCAGCTGCTTCGTGGTGATACTGGACTTCTTGTTACAGATATGCCAAAGGAAGAAGTTGAAAGGTATCTATCTTTCTCTTGAAGTCCTCTTTTTCCCTCTTTTGTTTTAGTGAAAACAACAGTGAGGTTTGAATTGTATTCATGTCTATTTGTTGTTACTGTTTACAATGCTTCTTCTGGTTGTATTGCAGCTTGTTTAATGCTTATGAGGATTCCGACTATTCGAGGACCGGAAGCATTGCAGTAGAAACGGTTTGTGATCGGAACTTATGCCATCTCTATATATTGTTGTTTCTAGATCAACAAACAAGCTTGACTATAATCAGGCTCTGCTTCTCTCTGTTATTTCAAAAACTTTATCTTAATTACTCTATCGGTACCACCAAAATGATCAGGTTGAACTGAAGGAAGGCCCTCTAGAACAGTTCACACATGAGATGGAACCACTTCTTCGGAAGCTGGAGATGCCTGTACGACTAAACAAAGGTTTGTGGTCTCACCATCTTAATATTCCTCTTTCTCATACACAATATTGCTATCTATATTAATCCAAAAACTTACTTCTTCTGCTGATTTAATATGTAGGTACCGTGGAGTTGGTCGCTGACTTTGTAGTTTGTGAAGAAGGAAAACCTCTTTCGCCAAAATCAGCCCACATTTTGGTAATAAGATTTCTGTATACCAAAACCCTTTCCTTTTAATTTGTATGTTTTCTGTAGAAAATTTTCTTATACATACTTGTTTTCTTAACTATTATTGCAGCGTCTATTGCGAATGAAGATGGCTACTTTCAAGCTAAACTTGCTCTGCAGATGGAGCCCTAGTGACTTTGAGCTTTACCGAGAAGATCTCTCAGACGTTGAAACCTCTTAGAAAGCCAAGATTTTGACTCACCCTTTAAAATTTTCTTAATATCGCATTATTCACCTGGATTTGTGGCACTGTGTTTGCATTCGAATGTTTTATGTCAAAGTTTTGTTGCTTTATATTTTGTAGAATATCAAACTATCTTCGGGAGTTCCGTACTCTAGTATTGGCAACTGATTATGTATCAATCTTAAAAACCTTATTTTCCATTCATTTAGCCAGATTATCGAATTTCTCACTCAAAGTTGAAACTCAAAAGCTACGATTCATTAGTAGAAGTAACCCTCTAAATATGATAGCCTAAGGCTTCTTTTGTTTTTATTTCAAACTATCCTCTTTACATCGCCACACCAAGATTAGTTAATTATATGTATGAAAATCTTTTTCAACCTAAGCCTTCATCAAACTTTTTTTTTTTGATATGAAGACTTCATCAAACTTGATATGGTCGATGTAGATCCTGATGTGGAACGATTCGAATTTTATAGACAATATTTGTTTGAGTGATCCAAAATATCCAAAAGGTTTTGAGACAACATTGCCTCAAGGTGTAGATGGTATTGGGGCCGAATTGAAGGGAATGATCAATGTAATTAAATCGCATGTGTATAATTAGAGCAATTTCTTCTTCTTGCATATAACATTATATATTGTGGTCCATGGGCTTGAAAGTATTCCAACCACGTTTACGTGTTCCATCTCTTAAATTTTTTTTTTTTTTACATTTAGCAAACCAAAGCTTTTGCGTTTCACTGGTGAGCTTAGAGAGTTGTGGTTTTAGAGATAGAAACAGTATTCTACGAAACGGTTTAAGATACTAGGAGGCGAATGCGGTTGAACAAACTAGAACCCATACCGGAGATTTTGGTAAAAGATAAACGGAAAAGGTGATACTTCCAGTTCCGACGTAACAAATAAACAAATTGTAGGTTTTCAACATTTTATGATTTTTGATAACATAGTTTTTAACTGAATTTTGGTTGACATGTTTTTCAAAAAATACATAAATTATGGATTCTCTCATTTTAAACAAATGAATCAATATATTTTGACAAGTATAAGTATACTATTATTTATAAATCTTTTTCCTTACATTACATATATATATATATTATCGAAATTACGATATTCTCTCATTTAAATACATTCAAGCTAATATCAACTTTCTTTTTCTTGTTTTCTATCCGCAGATAGCGCGGGATAAATTGTTTCCTTCTTCATGTAAGGACCTATTATTGGGTTTACGGAAGTTGCCTATACAAATGTAGATAAGTTAAAATAAAAAAAAATCAAAGTTCCATATACATTATCCTTTAAATTTTACTTCTTTCATAATGAACAAAAAACATAAAATTGTAAATCAAGGAGATCACGAAGTGACATAAGATGAGAGAGAGAGTGTGTGGGGGCTTTAAAGAAGGAGTAAGAAAAGTGAAAAAGGAGAGAAGAAGGAAGGAAATCATGGAAGTGAGTGAAGAGTCAGGTGAGAGAGACTGAAGCCTGACTCCTAACCACCATTTCAATCTTTTTGGCACTGAAATTCATGTCGTTCCTTTTCCTGTAAAGGAAACGACAACCACTTCTGCTCTTAAATCAGCATTTACTCTTCTCTCTCTCCTCCTATGTGTTTTCATCATTGCATTTTGTGTAATATATGTATCCACACACACACACATATCTCTCCTCTTTCTCTCTCACACTGATTTTGGATTTTGGCTTTTTCATGATGGGTGGGCATCTTTGAATTTGTTCCTCCCATTTTATAGCACATGGTTCTCATACTTATAAATTTGCCAAGATTGTACTGCTTCTTATTCTATTGTATATAGTAATAATTTTAACCAAAAGAGACGGTGTAACAACCAACATTTATACTCTAAACGTTTAGTTAACCATTTCAAGCTCTCAATTTTGAACCTATCAATGGATGATAGAATCCCTTTTTTAATCGCCGTATACACTGCTCCTTTGGATAAGATATTTGTTCATCATATATTTGATATCTTTCAAATGCAAACAATTTTCTTACCAATATATTTACCTTAATTACAACCTAATGTATTATCCGTGACTTATCTCCAAAAAAGCTAAATTTTGTAATTGGAGGCAATAAACTAGAAGCCTAAGACATGGCTTTTTTTATTTTGGCTTTTCTATTACATCTGCCTTTTAATTGTAAAAATGTTAAAATATTTTTTCAAATGGCATCTTGCAAGAACCGTCTTCATGTGAGAGAGATGACTTCTTGTTTGGTCGGATTGAGACTAAGCTATAACTACGAGAATGTAACGATGGGAAAGAGAAAGAAGCGACTCGTGATCATATTTTATTAGGTGTACATCAATCATTTCCACCTGAGATTCGTATGCAGAAAATTTGACCTCTATCATTTTTTTCTCTCGAATTAATTAATGCAATTACTACTGCTTCCCCTCCTCAATCAATGCTCCATTCATTATTTTTGTTTTTGTATAGAATGCTCCACTAGTTCTAAGAGAACAAAACATTTTCTAAAACCTTATCATTATGCTTCTTTCATCAAAAAAGTTACAACTTACACCAACCAATCAACCAACCCCACACCATTTAACTACCATGTATAACATCTCCTCTTTGTTTTCTTCTTTATGAAATTTTTTTTCTAATTTAACCGGTAGATTCCTAATTCCTAAAAAATCCCTAAGCTACCCAAAACCAAATAAATTGCTAAATCATGGAACAAAAATAAAAGATCCTCAATAATCACAAAAAAAAAATTAACCGGTAGATTATTAATCGAAATTCAAATGATTCTCAAAATTTACAGTCATTATGTGAATTCTGCAATGGCAAAAGAAAACAATGCATATAGTAAAAATTGATCTCTCATATAGATCCACAAAAAATACCGTCATTTCGTTTAAAATCATTATTTGCTTTCTTTTGTTCATATGGAGATATATGAAGATGCATTGGATCACTCACATTCTCCTTCAGTTGTCGCCGAGGAAACGTAACTCATAACAAGAGACGACGTACTCTCATCAGCCATAACAGGCAGCTGAAACAATTGCTTGCAAGAGTGGCAAGTGATCTCCATCATTGTTGCATTAATCCTCTTGATTGCTTCTTCTCTAACAACCTGAGCCTTCTCCAGCTCGATTTTCGCTTCTTCCCTTATTCTCTTAGCTTTCTCAAAATCCTTTTCCGCCATCTCTATCTGCCTTTTAACTTCTTGTCTCGTTTCCTCTGCCTTCCTTGCCTCCTCGTTCGCTCTCTCCTTTGTTAAACTCGTCTCTCCCTTTTCGTTGCGCTTTGCTTGTGCTGATGTTCTAGCCATGCCTATGGATAGTTGAAGTTCGAGGCTTTCGAAAGGAGCTGATGAAGCATTGAAAGGGTAAGCAAACGCTGGTGAATGTTGATTGGACGGTCGTGGTGGACGTAACAAAGGAAGTCCATGCAATAAAGGGCCAAAGCTTGCGGTCGAAGTCGTTCTTGATGGAGCAGCAAGGCCGGTCGTGTGCTGCTGTATAGGACGGTGGTTGGTGGGTGGAGGTTGCCGGATGTTGCAAGTATCTTGATGTTCTATGAAACTCTCAACCCTGAAAAAAGAACAAGAGAAGAGAATCAAGAATGAGCTAGTAGTGGATATAAATATTTGTTTGATATATAACCAAAAGAATTGAACTAATTAAATGATAAAAATAGAGTGTTTGAGGGTGTACGTACGTAATCAAATGACAAAAGCAATAATATAAAATTGAGTTATGGATTTAGATATCTTTGGAAAGGTATTATGTGATTATAAGACTTTTTAGTTTGTGTATTAACAAAATACAACAAAGTGTTGGTAATGGAAATCCATAATGAGTATCAACGTGACTTCATATATGTAAATTAAATTAATATGGCAACAGTCAAGCACTGAGCTTCTATTGGTAGCTAGGCTAGACTGTGTCAAAATCTATATGCACATTAAAAAAAAAAACAAATCTATATGCCTTATATAGATATTACCTGTAATGTAACAACATTACACACCATCCTAGAAAATATTATTTGGTTTAGTTTAAGGATTCCATATTTCCAATTATAATCTTACCTGAACAGTTTCATTGTATACAGAAAATCTCAAGCTTTTTTTTTATTGGAAAAACCAAGGAAAACTAATCCTCAGCATAGAGCCAATAGTTAGGGTTTTCCACAAAACATCGACTACATTAACCAAACTTTTTTGTTAAAAAAAATAATGAGAGATGATATGATGATGAGGAAGAACCTGGAGAAAACGCGTCCGCAATCGCAGGAGTGACCGCGTGAACCGCAAGTCTTGAGATGGGCTTTGTAGTCAGATTGAACTGCATAGCCTTTGGAGCATCTCTCGCAAACCCATTGCTTGTGGACACTGTGTTTCCGGCGGAAGTGCTTTTTGATTCCGACCAGATCTCCAAGGGCGTGGCACGGGTCGTGGTGAAGACATGTTGGCTCAGGACACACGTAGACTCTCTTCCTTACTTCCTCATCCTTCTTGTCTCTCTTCAGAAGCTTCCATGGCACTTTATGCCTTCTTCTATGCATCTGTAGATTCTGATCCCTCTGAAACCCTTGGTTGCAGATCTCACACACGTACCGATCTGACTCTAGCAACGTTCTTGGTGATAAAGATACCACATCTGCATCTGGATCTGTTAGCACCAATACACAAGATAAAAAATGATTATCTAAATTATATTGAAAAAAATAAAAATCTCAAAAATAAAAGTCTTTAGCTAAATTATTGAAAACCCAACATTAGATAATGAAATCTTGAGGGAGTACTTATTAAAAGACCAATCCCCAAAAAATAATTCTTAACATAAGTCATGTGTAATATCAACAACACTTTTTTGAACTTAATAGAAAACAATAGGAAAAATTCAAAGCTTAAGCGGAACTATAGAAAACCTGGTGTCCCTGCGGGTCTCCGTTTTCTCTTTTGGGTTGCGTCGGCTCCATTGATGCCAAGAAGAAGATCGTTAGAAGATGAAGAGGGAAGCTTCTGATGGTTGTTGTTTTGCTCGTAATGTATCATTGGATGATATCTTTTTGTTTTTCTTAACGATGGTGGTATTGGAGGAAGTGTACAATTAGTGTGTTGTGACTATTGGAAAAGAAAAACAAAATCGAAGAATCTTTTGTTTTTCATGTGATGAAGATTAGAGATTTTTCCTCTTTACTTCTTTTATTTGGTGGTGGATAGTACTGCTGTCTCAGCTTTACTAATAGAGGAAGAAAGAGAGATGAGTTAAGAGGGAGAAACAAAGGGTTTTGCTTTCTGAAATCAACTTTTGTTTCAGCTCTCTTTTTCGAGGCCTAAAAGATTTCTTTTTTTCCTTTTACTCTCTTCTTTTTATTTTTCTTGGAAAAAAGTTTCTTCTTTTTGTTAATTGATTCATTGACCTCGCACCTTACCTGGAGAAGGCATTGTATGGTCTCTGATTGTTTAATCTTCTTCTTTACATATACTCATCAACTTCTTTTCTCTTTTCTCTCTCTATGTATGCATACATATACATCATGTGACCTAAAGGAAACGGGGTTGAAACTTAGAGCCCACATAGATATTTTGGACAAGAAACAAAAGAACATCCCCTTTCACAACAAAACAAATACAAGTCATTATTATTTCATATCACTCAATATTATTCTCCACAATAGAAAAATCTTTATCGTAAGAAATATTATTCTCCACCAGTTTCTCGTCAGTGTTTGCAAGAAAAAAAAACCAATTAATTAAGAGATCTTATAAAGTTTGATATTTTGTTTATTGTTTACTACTCATACACACATGCACACATTTTTAGGTCTAAATCCAGATTATGACACTCTGGAAACACCAATACAAATCATTAAACTACAAGTTATGGTCGAACTATATATATATATATATAATAAATGTTAGATCTAATTTTATAATATAATATATAATAAGTAGTATATTCATTATTAGTTGGTTTTGAATTCAAAACTCATAATTTTATATGTATGATGGTATCAGAATATGTAAATCCGAACAAGTATAATCAATTTAAAAAATAAGATTCGGTTCGGGACAAATGAGCAAAATAAAATTAATTTCAAAAAAGTATTAGGAATTATTCCTACATCAAAAATGAGAAAGAAACAACATTACTATGCAACAATATAAATCAATAACTCGTTACTAGAGCACTTTAATTAGGCTCTAAAAAAACTTTGGACTTTAAATCCTTTTTTGTTCTCATGCTTTCAGAAGAAGAAAAAGCCCTCTGTAAGATACTAATTATATGTTACCTTTAGCTGTACGTATTTATTTATGTGTGTGTATATAAAGAGGTAAGAATTTTTGTTTTGGAAGTCGGACAAATCATTACTTATTATTACGTATGTCGTGTGAACATAATCAACTCACGTCGTCTCTGTGTGAGTGTGGAACGTAAAACGGAATCCATACATACAATGTGGTGCCATCATATCAATAGTACAAAGTTTTAAAACGGGGTGAAGAGCCTTGGACTGATTTGAAGTGTCACGAAAGAGCCAATCTTGTAAAAAGTGTACAGTGACTGGATCCATATGAAACGCGGACCTAACTAAGGTGGAACACGGATCCAAATCGATATTATTGAAATATGTCTCTTTCTCTTTGCTTTAACTCTGTTTGGCCCCAACAATTTTATTCATTTATTCATTTCTCTCTTTTCTTACTCAAGGCATTCCTCTTAGATTGTCTTGTAGTTTGATAGTTGGTACCCCTAAAAGCTTGATTTAGGCTATGGATAGGTTTGCAAAGTAAAATACAAGGCTTAATGAATTGACAACATCAAAATCTTCTACTCATGTTAGATGTTTTTTTTTTTTATTATGTCAAGGCAACAGAGAAGACAAGATAGAAGCTCTATTTTAAATGTTTCAGAAAAGTTAGCATTTTATATGTAAGAATATATTTTTTTAATATAATTTAACATTAAATTAAAAAAAAAAGTTTTAATTTCCATTCGATATTGTACTTAAGTTGGTTTGGAGGTTAACTTGAGAGCCTAACCTTGCAGGAGGCAATCAACAGGAGTTTAAGTTGTGGCTGGGCAGATGCACAAGGCCATTCTCCTCTAAGTAGCTTTTTAAATTTCTTTTAAGAAATGACCAACTATCTACCAAGATGAAGTTTATTTGTCCCGTCTTTTTTTTTTTTTTTTAATACCAGAAGGTTCTGGGCCAAAGCCTGTAATCCCTCGAGACCCGAAACTACATCATGTAATATTAGTTTCGTCCCAAACATCACTCGAACCGGTGACCTCTAAGCTTCACCTAAGATCTTTACCAGTTGAGCTAATGACACTTGATATTTATCAATTTTATTAATTACCTTCAAATGAATACACGAATGAACTAAGTCTCTAATTTATTAGAGTTTATTGGCTGGCCAAGAGTATTGGCCACAATATTGTCAAATATCAATTCTTATTTGAACCAGACAACCCAAACATCATCATATCTTGATCTAAAAAAGAGCATCCACACCATATGAGCTTTATTTTAGAGTGAACATGCACTATTCCAAAAGGTTATTGCAAATTCGAAAACGTAGTTTTAATTTCTCCTGCAATTTAGTAGAATTAATATTCTTTCGTTATTAGAAAACTAATATTTTCTAAGTTTTTCACCAAACTATTAAAAAAAAAGATGACAAACCATCTTTGATATAAATAAAAATGAAAAGACTATAAATTTAAGAGAGCAATTTGTTGTTGGAAAATATTGTTATATTTTCATGTTTGTACTTATAATTAGAAATAAATTTCGAAATTAAAATTTAAATCAAGAATTTATTCGCCAGATTTCATTGTTTCACAAAACAAATTACATCAACATATTAAAGTCTTAATTTTCAACCTAAGTCTCTACAAAGTTTGAGAAAAGAACTCTGGATCGAAAAAGTAAATTATTACAATCGTGATTTGTATGAGAAGTACCAATTTTGTCCATCAATTATAAAATGAGAGTAGTACACAAAAATAAGAAGTATCATTGTTATATCTAATTTAGTTGATACTTAACGAAGAGGAGTCATGATAACATGGGACTTGGTCCCATCGGCTTTTTGCTTTTCAAGGAGTAACGATGGAGGAGGTGAAAAGTTTTATTGACAACCCATAAAGTAAAAAAAAAAAAAAAAGTTCACAACATTTAAATAATTAATATTCAGGGAAATATAAAAAATTGACAAAGCTATAACTATACTCTCTACTTGATGCTATTATCCTCAAATCCAAATCCATTTCATGTTTTCAGTTTTTGGATGTTAAATTAGTCTATCTACCGTATAATCGTTTTTTTTTTCACGGTTGACAAATTATTTAAACTTTTTTTTGTTTTTCTGTTTTCCAGTAATTTTGGTTGGGGTCTATTATTATTAGTGCAAAAGTACTACTCATCAAATTTATGATCCATTCTTAAAGTCGTTGCCTTGGCCATACCATTTCTTATGATCGATAGCGATTTGTCATCTACGTCATTGCTTTCATTACAAATTTACGAACATTTCATATCTAAGAAGTCAAATCAAAATGATTAACTTACTATTACCAAATAGAATGAGGCGCTGCAATTGTATATCTTGTTGTACTCTAAACATAGCTAGGCTGATCTTTTTTCTTACTACTTTACCAACATATGTATTTTACTATTTTATAAAGTATTAACGTACGCTGTTACAGTGATATAGCAAGTAATTAAAATAAATTGTGGTTAAGCCCGCGGTCAACATAATGGTTGGCCTATCAGTCACGCCTCGGCTCGTTATATGCCCATATTTTTCTAGGGCACAAAATATCAGAGGCATTATATATCAACATCCCTAAGGCATAAATCAATATCTCAGATTCTCAAATGCCTAAATGAATACCAAAAATATGTGCACTAAAAAGTCTTAGCAACCTTGAGGTATATCTAACGTTTATTATCATCCGCATATTCAACAAAAGAGAAGAAAAAACACAAAAGAGAACCCGAACAAAATAATGAATCTGATCAAGTCGCAATTAAAAGGTAATCAAATCTGGTAACGTGTGAGTGAAGTAAACTGGCTCGTCGATAACTATTAGAGGCAGCGGACTCGGATCCACGTTACATATTCTATGCTGATCAGTTTCTTTAATATCCTTACATGTGAAACAAAAGTCGTCTTCGAAAATTTCCCATTTATCGGTTATGATTGTCTGCAACTCCGGTCTCTCCACTAATATGATACTCTTCTCTTCCTCTACTTGCTCTTCCTTTTTGGTCTCCTCTTCTTCTTCAACTCCATTGATGACTTTCTCGATTGCTTTAATGTCTTCTTCTGGGATTCTAACGAATTTAGGAATTTCGTGCGCGTTTGAGACCCCAAATTCTTTGCAGAATTCAAAGTAGAGGGCGAGATCTTCTCCTTGAGATGTAGCCTTCTTTACAACCTTAAGAGCAATCACAGCTTCTGCTTTTCCAGCAGCTGGATGGATTTTTATAAGAAGCTTGGCGATAGCGCTACAGATTCTTCCATAAATGTCGAAGATCTCGATCACCACGCAGTCCATGGCTTCAAGGATAAGCGTCTTCTTCATGTTGTCAGCCATTGGACGGATCTGGAGAAGCATATGGAGAAGAGACTGAAGTTTCTGGATCCTTTCGAGCTCTTGGTTAACCGAATCGAGCTGAGGTTTTTTGTGGCGACGACGAATTTGATCCGATAAAAAGAAAGAGTACTGGTCAAGAAACGAGAAATAGGCGCGGATAAAAGCGTTGAAACCCCAAGTCTTGCTGGGACGGGAATGACCATCCGAGAAATCCGAGAGGTCGAAAGGGAGGCGACGAATTTCTTGAAGGGACGTGACTTTGCAGCAAAGCACACCATGGACAAGCATTAAGGCTTTCAAGGCAACGATCCAGCTTCTTGTGCGGTTAACCCTAGATGAAAGGGCATGAACAAGCGGCTTGAGATTGGTGGGAGAGGATCGGATCCATTTATAGACACGGTGGGCATTGTGGTAATCGACAGATGAGTCATCATGAGAGGTTGCGTGGATGATGGCAGAATCAAGGTCAGGGTTGCGGAAGGAGGTTTTCCGGGAGAAGCCGATGGAAAACAAGGTTTTCCGGTCTTTGAGAGCACCGGAAGCCCGTTTCCACAGCTTCATCATCAGCCTCCTCCTCCTTCTTCTTCGCCCTTTCTTCTCTTCTCTTTCTCTCAAACCAAAGCTTACCTTGTTTTGCTCTATTTTAAGTTTTAATTATTTTGCCACCCTTACTTTTGACCGTTGTAACCGGTTTTTCGTTTATTTTTAATTTAAAACAAGTATAGAAATTAAAAGCTGGCACGTGTGATCAAGACACGTTTTTGCTTAGTTTCGGGCACGTCGGCCTGACCAAGACACGGTTTCGTCACCTTATTATATATTTATCTTATGATACTAATTAAGAACCGAAGCTAGGGACAACATTGTGTATGTAGGCTACAAGTTTTCGTGCTAAATATACAAGTTTTGTTACGGTGAAACTTGATCTCACTAGATTCCCAAAACTTAAGCCACCTTGCGGTTACAAGTATGGAGCAAAGAATCCATACGTCAGTTGAGAATACAACTACCACAGATAATGAGGTGGATAAGGCTACCACCAGCCGAACCATTGCTCCAAAAGCCAAGGAAAAGGAAGGTGGGTTCCTCTAATACCACTCCTAAAACAGGAAGAAGTCCTCTCCATGGAGTCGGCTTAAGGCAACGAATTGTCTCAAAAATCCACCCATCTCCTGGGAAGCGCGTGTGTATGGAGAAGACTTAGAACAAGTACAAGCCAGAAACAAATCAAAGAAAGGAAAAAACCCAAGACTGTACTGATCAGCCTCCAATCACACTCATTCCAGCAACCTCAAAAGGAAATGCGGATTTTCGGATCCCGAAATCTCCTCTTCCTTACTCATTTTGTCTTCGAACTGTCATGGGTTGAGGAACCCCTACAGTTTGTCGCCTTCGGAAAACCTTCCCAAACATTTTGTTCCTCATGGGAACCAAAAACCTTGGTTTAGTTATATTAGGTTTTAGCTTCTTTTTAGGGTGTAAATAAGCTTTAGCTAAAAACGCAAAAATTAATATTTTTTTTGATAATATTTACTCCATCTATTTCGTAAAGAGTGTCATTCTAACATTTTTCAAACAAATTAAAAAAATAAACATATTTTCTTTCTAGCATTTATTAATATACTAGATAATACTCTCCCTCTAATTAGTAAACTAAAATAGTATGGATAAAAAAATGGTGGGAATACTATTTAATTTAAAAAAATTCCCAACCAATGATGCTACATTAATGAAACAATTTTGCCTAAAAACTTGAAAAAAAACACAAAATAATATAATAAGAAATAAGGAATTATTAATTTTTGGCGTATAACGGAGAAGGAATAAAAATGGAAAATCATAAAATTTTAATTTTACAACCATAAATTCAAATTGTCTGACAAAAAAAAAAAATTCAAAATACAAACCTCTAAAGACTAATATTTAAACAGGATAGTATTATCACACACAACTGCTATAAAAATATTTGTCCCATGTAATTATACTCAAATGACGATATCTACATACAAGTTCTGCAACTACCTTACGGAAAGATCCATCCACAGATTCGTTAGAGAATTTCTCAGATGAAACTAGGATGAATGGACCAAAATTTAAGATAGAAAATATGATATCTTCTAGCTACTGCGATTGAAACATCATTGTTTACAAAATTCTAAACTTAGAAACATATTCCAAACAAATTAGTAACAATAATTGAAGCCTGAATAGACACACCCTCATCCATTTCTCCCCGGACCCCGAAAATTTCGGAAACAACCATGGATCAAAATAAATGAATGTGTGCGCTAGAAGAAGAAATAAGCAAGGGTTAATAATTCAGTAGTAAGAGAAAAAAAACTTCTTATCTAGATCAAGAGCGGCGCATGCAAGTGGCTTCAATGGTGATGAAGCAAACGATGCAGAAGAAGAGAATAATAAGTCCGACTATGATTCCGAATGTCACCACATCCATTTTCTATTCACCTTAAATCTTTTTGGCACAAAAAACAAAGGAAAAGATGCTTTTGGTCGAAGATTTAGCGGTGTCCACCGCTTCTGCTTGAGTCAACGTGTCGAATCTTGATTAATCAATATTTCCCCATACTAACCAGCTTTTTATCTAGTAGCCCATTTTCAGATTTAATTTGGACTTGTAGTTATCTTAACTCAGACCTTAATTTGATAAAATCAGCCGTACGTAAATTCAGATCTATAACACAATGTCTCAGATGTATAGACCTCAAAACATATATATTATTGACCCATAATGTAGAGTGGCGACATAAACGAATCAAAAATCTAACTTTTAGCTCAAGAAATTTAGTCAGAGCTTAAAAGTCTCTTAGAAAACCAAAACTTATATCTCCATTTTTAAGATTTTGTTATAGCTTAAGTTGTTTCCCGCATCACTTGTGTGCATCAATCTAGCTATCAATCCTCATGGATTCGACCCCAAAATATTACGTCGTATATATTGACATGTATTTGTGCTTGTTTAAAATTTTGAGGGTTTTAAAACTTGAGATATCAATTTTTTGGAGCCGCATACCACAATTATTTTCATTGATTTCCTAAGTGTTTGTCACTAGTTTGTTTATTAAATATTGAGGTAATTAGAAGAAGAGAATAGTGAAAACAAATAAAGTAATGAGTATATGACAAATTGTTGGATGTTAATTTTTTTTTTATGTTTTTGTAATGATTTTTCTTCTTTGGTTATATTTTTATATTTGGAAAAAATGATTGAACAATAATATTGGATATAACAGAAGGCTATAAAGATAGAATGATATGGTGTGATGCAATTATTTTGTTGTTTTGCTTTTGGTAGAGAGTTTGATTCGGGTAGACCAGATATGAGTAGTTGGCATTTCCGCAAAGCTGTTTTAAAGACATGACAGCCAAACTTGATTGCGTATGGGCAAAATTTATATTCTTCTATTTATCATTTATCTTTTTGGATAAAAAAATTATCATTTTTCTTTCCAGAACATATATCTACATACTTACCATTCGAACATAAAACGCATTCTTCGCATTTAAAAATCAATCACAAGCTTCCCAATAATTCATAGTTTTGTTTTGTATGTCTGATTCACGTGGATACATAAAAGATGTAATATATTAGTAACTAGTAAGTGTTGAAAAAGCAACACAATAAAGTATTTGTTTGACGGTGAATTCAAATAACATATCTATATCTAATGATATATGACATTATAGTCGGGATTTTGGTATTATGTCAAGGCTATTATTGAGTTGTAATTATGATCCTTTGTGATATATAAAAGAACAATAAAATGTTCGATTTCCGAATATTTATTTTTGGTTTAAAGTTGGCGGAAAACAATGTAGATAAGTTAAGCCATAAATAGATCGCTAATTAGGATCCAGTTATAATAATCTTGTTTGGTCCACCATGTGGACGCTATTATCCAAATGTGACTTACAAGCGAGAAACCCACTAGCACTCACATGCACACTTGCACAGTCGACTTATTTATATATAGATGTTGCTTTTTATCGCATAAAGCTCCTTGTGCAGAAGAAGAGAATGGGTTCTAAGTTTAATATCGGCTCCTTAAGCATAGTAATGACTCTGCTTCTCTGCTTCTTATTATTATCTTTAACTCCAAAACTTGAGGCCGAGCTCGCAAAGGTCGAACATGCTCCAAACCCCGATGGCTCAGTCAGTTTTCTGGTGATTGGAGATTGGGGTAGGCGTGGACTCTATAACCAATCCCAAGTTGCCCTCCAGGTACTAATTTACATACTATATACATGTATATACCCATATTTTTGTTGTATTTTATAAGATTGTTTAGATGGAAACATAGATGGGGAGAATCGGGGAGGAGATGGATATCGATTTTGTGGTATCGACGGGTGATAACATCTACGATAACGGGATGAAAAGCATCGATGATCCCGCCTTTCAACTCTCCTTTAGTAATATCTACACTTCTCCTAGCCTGCAAAAGCCTTGGTACCTTGGTAAATAATGTCTCCAATCATTAATCCATTCAAAAGTAATTAACGCTAAAATGAAGAAAAAAAAGAAGAAGAGAATCTTATATAATATGACAAGGTTTTTTTGAAGAAGCTCTATTATCATGCCATTTGGCATCCTATGCATCTGACATGTGTCCCTCTCCAATTAATGATAATTAGTGGTGATTAATTTGTAATTATATTGTGGAAAATAAAGCATATCTTTCTAGATATTATAATTAAGTGCCCCTTTTTACCTTATGTTACTCTATCTAATAAATGAAAACCGTAGCATTATATTCCTTTACGTTACGTTTTTACTTCACATTACGTTTTCATGTTACAAATCTCTTATTTAATCAATTCCATAAAATCGAGACACTTGGTGTGTTGTTCTTTTAACGGCTGGAACATTCTTCAAATGCTCTATAAGAAGCTCTCTACTTTAGCTCAAGCAATGATTATGTTTCTAAATTAACTTCTTTTTTATTTAGTTATTTGAAATTTATATTTTCTTCTCTCTCACTCATCTTCATTTTAGTACGTGCATTATCTTCATTCTAGCCAACAATTGTGTTGTAGAACATAAACGACACTGCTGAATTTGAGGTTGGATCGTCAAGAAATTATGCGCTTAGATATGTATGTTCTCATTTAAGTTTTGTTTACTTTTAAATATTTTTAAAATTTGATCAAGCAAAAAGAAACATTATATCCAATTGGTACAATGCATTTCTTATTTTCGTGTTGATTAGCTAAAACATGATTTATTTTCGTAGATTGGTGTTAGTGACGACTAATACTTATTTTGTGCATTTGTTTTGTTCATGTTGTCATAATATGAATAATAACAAAATGACACATTGATTTGTTAAACTTTATTGAGCCGGGTTTGGTAAGATATAAAATAAATTCCTCAAAGATGTGATATTTACTTTTTATCTATTTTATAGTGGGAAAATCACAAATACTAAATGAATTAGGATTTAACCCGAGATACACCGCGGAGCAAAATTGTAATTTCTGTATTTTATATAATAATTTATAATTTATTAGATTTTTAAATTCATACTATAGAATAATTATTTCTCATTTACTTATTTATATTATAATTAATATAGTTGAAATATATGAATATTGTTTTTGGGTAGTTGTATTTGTTTACTTAAATGTGTTAATTTGTATTGATGTACTTAGAAGATTTGTAGGTGTAGAAGTGATGTAGTGTTAATATTGGCAAGCATTTATAATCATGGACTATTATAATAATTTGGTATTATTTTGTATCTAAAATTTTTAACCCGCGGTATATTGCGGATTGATTTTTAAAAACTAAAAACTTTAAATTTTAAGTTATATTTGTTTTGTTAATATTGTTTGGTTTGTTTAGTGTTTAAGATAATATCATTATATTTTAATTTTTAATTTTAGGATTTCACCGGTGCTACGTCGTCCCGTATTAATATCGATTCAAACTCGTCCCATCATATAACCTCGTCCCATAAAATGAAACAGCATTTTTAAATTTTCTTTTTAATAATAGTTTTACTTAAAAGACATATAATTCGAGTCAATTTAAAATTTTGCTTTAAATGGTTGACATAATATATATCTATATATATTTTAATTTTTATAGAGTTCACATATTATAAACTTTTTATAGAACTTAAATATTATAATACTCTAAACATTTTTTAAAGTTTAAATATTACATCCTAATCGGTCGTGGAACCGTAGTTCCAATAACATCGTCTCTTCAAATTGAATCAACAACAATAGGAACCGAAACAAAAGCATGGAAACCAAGAGGAAAAGAGAACGCATAGTTAGCTAACCCGTTGGCAAGACGGTTAGCCTCCCTATACACATGAGTAACCCGGACAATCCAGTCCCTCGAAATAAAGCCATGGCACAAGCGTACCAGGAAAGACAGCGGATGAGAATCCCCAATCCCTGTCGTAAGAAAACCAACCACCAAACTCGAATCCACTTCCAGTACTAACTGTGTAACTCGGTGCTCCCACGCCGTATAAAGCCCATAATACACTCCCCATAGCTCGGCTAGCAGAGCGGAGCATCTCCCAATATTTAAGGCAAGTCCCCCGCACCACTCTCTAGCACTATTCCGCAGCACCCCACCCGCGGTAGCTAGCATCGGATTCCCTTGGGACGCTCCATCGGTATTCATCTTGCTCCAACCATCCTCCGGTGCCACCCAACCAATCATCCTCTCCACGCGGGGCACCTGTGAGCTCTTATTCAAGATCTTCAAATTCGCCTCCGTCACTTCCTTTGAAAGATCCTTAATGAATTTCACACAGTCCCTGCATTTCCCGTTTTCACCAAAAACATTGCCACACCTCCACTTCCAATCCCACCATACCACCATTACAAACGTGGTGGACCAATCTCCAGCCTCTGTATTGGTCCCTGCACACAAATTCTCAAAGAGCCACTCTAACAAAGTTTGGTTAAAGAAAACCTATCTCTTTCTTATAGGTACAATTCGATTCCAGATCCCCGCCATCGCTGGACAATCTCGAAGCACATGTATGATGGTCTCTACTCCTCCCTTACACATTTGGCAAATATCAGTATCAACAATGTGTCTCCTCTTCCTCTCCGCGTTCGTCATAATAACTTGATTAGCCACCAACGAAAGAAATACCTTTACCCTTTCCGGAGCTACTACCCTCCAAACTCGGGAAAAGAAAAAGTACATATTCTGCCTTGGTGATTCATCTCTTGTCAACAGTTTGTAGGCTGATTTAACTGTAAATTCCCCATCCGCAGCCCCACTCACGATAATCTATCCTTTACTCCGGTCATTGTATCAACAATTACTGCCGTCAGCTCTAACTTTGTGGTCGCCAAGACATATGGTGAAATTCGTGCCATGTCCCAGCCTAAACCCTCACTCCACATCTCTCGGACTGTCCATGTTGCATACCCCTCTGGTAAATCACTTTCCACAGCTCCAATAAGTGACTTCCCTAATAACCATTTATCTGTCGAGAACTTAATGTTATTATCATCTCCAACTACCCAGAACTTAATGTATGACTCTGAACCATTGCAAAAAATTTTAAGCAATATGGGACATTGTATACATATTTTTTCTTCATCGATTGAGTAATATATGTCCGTTTTTAAAATTTTAAATCACATTATATGCAGAAAAATATATTATTATATTAATTATATGTATTTTACATAAATTCAAAATAAATTAAATATAAGATTATATAAAAGTGAAAAAAGAATCATATATTAATGTTTAAATTAGGTAGAGAGGTTTTAGGAAATTAGCAATTCATCAAATTTAGAAACAAAATCAATTTGTTCCCATATTTAGAAGCCACAATTTCTAAAAAATTGTTTCGAAAATAATTTGTAATATTAATTAATAGATAAACATTTATAACAATGACATTCTCTTGTAAATAAGTGCCAACTCAAAAATTTATTTCATATTTGTACTTCGAAAATGTATATATAGATTTAAATTGAAATGGAACAATGAAAGATTTACATATACATCTTTATAAGATCATTTGCCATTCTATTTTTTAAAAAAGATTTTACATAAAAACTTAAAATTCAGTCTCAAAATTCATCGATGTTCTATAACGCATATAGCACTAAATCAAGTATTCTTTTAATGTTGTCTTTTTCTATATTTTACCTTATTTCCCACAAATTGATATTAAACAATTAACAACAAATTATCTTATAATAGTTTATTTTAAAAAATTATTTCATTTTTAATTTAACTATAAATCATTACATAAATGAATACTATTAGAGAAGCAAAATGTAAGAAAATTATTAAAATGACATTGTAAATTGAGGAATTGTTAGAAATGCTTTTTTTCCAATACCTCTTTTCAAAAATACAACCTACATAAAACCTTTCCTAAATGTCCTTAAAACTCTGAGATTTACCTAAGTACGTATGTAACATTATAAAAGCATACAAAACTACCTTTATATGTATAAATACATTATTAAAACTTATAAATACCTTATAAAATCTTATACATATCTTATAAAACCTTATAAATATGTTATATAAATACATTATAAAACCTTATATATACTTAGATCGAGGCTTGAGTAATACTTACCATTCAGAAGTACCTCATAAATCTTTTCAGGTTTAATGAGACGTAATTTTGAAAATACACAGAAGAAGGAGACATTTTTTAAAAATGGCACACCAAAAAGGGCATTTTCAAAAATAAAATATAATAATAAGGTCATGCAAATTATTTATTATAAAGTGAACGGATAATATGAAATAAATAATATAGCATCTTATCTATTTCTAAAATATTTAAATTTTTTTATAACTTTGAATGATGAAAAAAAAAACAAAGACAAAATATAGGATTTTTTTTTACCATTTAAAGACAAAGAAAAATGACCACATGTCGTGAAAAAAGAAGTCAAAAACTTCATGACGAACTCATTTTTAAATTAGAATTAATGGCCAAACCCTTATCTACACTTTTGTTATAGAAAAAAAGAAGGAGAAGATGATGATAGAGTTGAAGGATAAAATCTAATATTTGAGATTATGATCACTGATTTTTTCGTTGGAAGATGGGTATTTTTTCTTTTCAAAAAAACGTCTACTTTTTATTCTTTGTTGACCTTTTTCCTTCAGAAAAAGTTTTATTACATACTAATTTTTACATTCAAAATAAATTCCATAATGTATATGCCAATACTTTCAATTTTTAGCCACTCTATACGTACTTTACCTTTTCTTTATAACAAAATTCTTAAACTGATAACAAAAAGAATAACTAAAGTGTTAAACAAATTCATGTATAATTATTTGGAAGGACATCAAAACCTATTATTGTATAATTTATTTTGCAATTACATTTTTAATCAGTATCCCACGCATCGCGTGGGTTTCTCTCTAGTAATAGATATGTGACTGTCCATTCTACTCAGTATTGGGGAATCACGACTATAGAGGAGATGTTGAGGCACAATTGAGTCCTATCCTCAGATCTATGGACAGCCGTTGGATTTGCATGAGATCCTTCATCGTTGACGCTGGTATACTAGCCATTACATAGGTTTTACAAGAATGTGATCGATATTATAATATTTTACATGTTTTCCTTACATAATCATATATTTTATGGCTTTCTACTTCTTATCTCCAAATTCGGACAGAGATCGCAGAGCTCTTCTTTGTCGACACAACTCCTTTTGTAGATGCTTATTTCCTCAATCCACAAGACCAAACTTACGACTGGAGCGGCGTATCACCGCGAGAATCCTATCTTCAGACCATCTTAACGGTACTTGAAAACACATATATCTACAGTTTGTAGGAATTATCTTGATGACGATCCCAAATACTAAGTATAATGTGTAGGAGTTGGAGATGGGTCTAAGAGAATCAAGAGCAAAATGGAAAATTGTGGTGGGTCACCATGCTATAAAGAGTGCTTCCATTCATGGGAATACCAAAGAGCTTGAATCTCTCCTCTTACCTATCCTCGAGGTTCATTTTCTTCTTAATTACTCTTGTTACAGTTATACTTATATGCCTCGATTATTTCAAATGCAATTTTAAAAAATAAGCTAACTTATGCGTTTTAATAAAACAAATTATTTCAATTTTTCTTTTCGAAATATTCTAAAAAGTTAGCATTTCCACTTGTTCATAAACTATTTTTTGCAATAAAAGACAAACGCAAGGGAGTTGATATACGATTGTTGATAACAAATAAAATTTGTTTAAAATACTAAAAGTAATAATTTCGTTTGAAAAAGAAAAGCACACTAGTATTATAATATATCACTATATTTTTTTGGAATTTTTCAGGCGAATAAAGTCGATCTCTATATGAATGGTCATGATCATTGCTTGCAACATATAAGCACATCTCAAAGGTAACACCGGTTAATTGTTTATATAGAAACTAAAGCTGCGTTTGGATGAAGCGGATAATAAAAGAGATAAAAGTTATGGATTAAAATTGAGTTATCTTTTTGCAGTCCAATTCAGTTTCTAACGAGTGGTGGTGGGTCAAAGGCATGGAGAGGCTATTACAATTGGACAACACCAGAGGATATGAAATTTTTCTACGATGGACAAGGTTTCATGTCAGTTAAAATCACTAGATCAGAAATGAGTGTCGTTTTTTATGATGTCTCCGGCAACATTTTGCACAAATGGGACACATCAAAAATGTTAGACACGGATTTTTATTTCCCATTGTAAGTTTGTAATAACTCACATGAAAATCAGTCGAAGCACATAAAATTCTACATAAAAATAAATATGATTCTTATGAATGGCTCCAAAAATTCAAGTAAATTAGGCAAACTCAGAATACATGAAGTCCATGCAGAATGTTGGAAAATTTCTGCAAGAGCTATCGTCATGGGATGTATCACAACAGCTTATTTAGCTAAATCATGGTACCAAACAAACACATACCAAAAAATTTGGAGGTTCGTACAATACTTTATCAATATAGTAAATATATTTGGCCATTGTCCGCCTACATATAATAACATCCATATTAAAAATTGGAGCGACATAATTCAATGGGATAAAAGAAAAAACAATTCAACATTGGTGTCCGTGTCTTTTTCAATTCAAACCAAACCAACAAGAATAAAAAGAAAACGAAGTCATTACCAAACATGATACATAAACCCGAATTAGAGAATAAAATATACCAAGAATGGTAAAGGATATGTAAAAACTTGAATCTGAATTCAGAAATAACTTCCTCTATATTTATTCACTTTTTAAGAAAAGAAAAGAAAAGAAAAGTTAACTTCCTAATTTTGTTCATATATTTTAGCAAATAAATATGTAAATACTAGAATCTGAAATTACATTTACAAAGTTATCTATATACAGATTTAGGTTAGTTACCCATCGTAGTACGTGACGATACGCAAATGGACTAATTCCAAACATTACTTTTAGTTTTAGATAAATATGATTTTGACTTTGACCAAACAAAAGAGATACTTATCAAATTAATTAAATTACTCACCTACTGATTAGGCACGTGGTTCATGTTTCACAAAACGCATCGTTTCACCTGTCAAATTTCCCAATCTCTCAGAGCTTTTTATAAACTCCTTCTCTTTTGGAATCAAACAAGGATCTTTGATTTCCGACAATGGCGGCTACTTCACTGTACAAGTCCTGTCTTCTTCAACCCAAGTCTGGCTCCACCACTCGCCTAAACCTTTCTCTCGTTAACCCTCTTACGAATCCGACAAGTAAGTCTTCGGTTTCGAGATAGTGGCGTTTATTCGAATCAAAAGTTTTGATTTTTATGTGTTTTTGTTTCCTCTATGATATAGGAGTTTCGATTTTGGGGAAGAGTCGTAGAGATGTCTTTGCGAAAGCTTCGATTAAAATGGCGGAATCGAATTCGATACCTTCCGTTGTTGTCAATTCCTCTAAGCAGAATGGTCCTATCATCGTGATTGATAATTACGACAGCTTCACTTACAATCTCTGCCAGGTTTCATTTCGAACGCAATCTCCAATCTTCACTACGCTTGTTAGATTTTTGATGTGAAATGTTTTTGAATCTGTTTTGTGTAAAAGCAGCTGAATTTGCATTTTGTTAGAAGTGTTATTCAAGTATGTATTGTGATTGATTGTTTGAATCTCATTATTTCACAATTCAATCTAGTTTCGACATGCTAATAGATAAGAATATGTAATGTAGATTCTCTCTTGTTATGTGATCAGAGACGTTATGTCGCGCCATAGAATCTTATTATCGAAACAACCATGGATCAAAATAAATGAATGTGTGCGCTAGAAGAAGAAATAAGCAAGGGTTAATAATTCAGTAGTAAGAGAAAAAAAACTTCTTATCTAGATCAAGAGCGGCGCATGCAAGTGGCTTCAATGGTGATGAAGCAAACGATGCAGAAGAAGAGAATAATAAGTCCGACTATGATTCCGAATGTCACCACATCCATTTTCTATTCACCTTAAATCTTTTTGGCACAAAAAACAAAGGAAAAGATGCTTTTGGTCGAAGATTTAGCGGTGTCCACCGCTTCTGCTTGAGTCAACGTGTCGAATCTTGATTAATCAATATTTCCCCATACTAACCAGCTTTTTATCTAGTAGCCCATTTTCAGATTTAATTTGGACTTGTAGTTATCTTAACTCAGACCTTAATTTGATAAAATCAGCCGTACGTAAATTCAGATCTATAACACAATGTCTCAGATGTATAGACCTCAAAACATATATATTATTGACCCATAATGTAGAGTGGCGACATAAACGAATCAAAAATCTAACTTTTAGCTCAAGAAATTTAGTCAGAGCTTAAAAGTCTCTTAGAAAACCAAAACTTATATCTCCATTTTTAAGATTTTGTTATAGCTTAAGTTGTTTCCCGCATCACTTGTGTGCATCAATCTAGCTATCAATCCTCATGGATTCGACCCCAAAATATTACGTCGTATATATTGACATGTATTTGTGCTTGTTTAAAATTTTGAGGGTTTTAAAACTTGAGATATCAATTTTTTGGAGCCGCATACCACAATTATTTTCATTGATTTCCTAAGTGTTTGTCACTAGTTTGTTTATTAAATATTGAGGTAATTAGAAGAAGAGAATAGTGAAAACAAATAAAGTAATGAGTATATGACAAATTGTTGGATGTTAATTTTTTTTTTATGTTTTTGTAATGATTTTTCTTCTTTGGTTATATTTTTATATTTGGAAAAAATGATTGAACAATAATATTGGATATAACAGAAGGCTATAAAGATAGAATGATATGGTGTGATGCAATTATTTTGTTGTTTTGCTTTTGGTAGAGAGTTTGATTCGGGTAGACCAGATATGAGTAGTTGGCATTTCCGCAAAGCTGTTTTAAAGACATGACAGCCAAACTTGATTGCGTATGGGCAAAATTTATATTCTTCTATTTATCATTTATCTTTTTGGATAAAAAAATTATCATTTTTCTTTCCAGAACATATATCTACATACTTACCATTCGAACATAAAACGCATTCTTCGCATTTAAAAATCAATCACAAGCTTCCCAATAATTCATAGTTTTGTTTTGTATGTCTGATTCACGTGGATACATAAAAGATGTAATATATTAGTAACTAGTAAGTGTTGAAAAAGCAACACAATAAAGTATTTGTTTGACGGTGAATTCAAATAACATATCTATATCTAATGATATATGACATTATAGTCGGGATTTTGGTATTATGTCAAGGCTATTATTGAGTTGTAATTATGATCCTTTGTGATATATAAAAGAACAATAAAATGTTCGATTTCCGAATATTTATTTTTGGTTTAAAGTTGGCGGAAAACAATGTAGATAAGTTAAGCCATAAATAGATCGCTAATTAGGATCCAGTTATAATAATCTTGTTTGGTCCACCATGTGGACGCTATTATCCAAATGTGACTTACAAGCGAGAAACCCACTAGCACTCACATGCACACTTGCACAGTCGACTTATTTATATATAGATGTTGCTTTTTATCGCATAAAGCTCCTTGTGCAGAAGAAGAGAATGGGTTCTAAGTTTAATATCGGCTCCTTAAGCATAGTAATGACTCTGCTTCTCTGCTTCTTATTATTATCTTTAACTCCAAAACTTGAGGCCGAGCTCGCAAAGGTCGAACATGCTCCAAACCCCGATGGCTCAGTCAGTTTTCTGGTGATTGGAGATTGGGGTAGGCGTGGACTCTATAACCAATCCCAAGTTGCCCTCCAGGTACTAATTTACATACTATATACATGTATATACCCATATTTTTGTTGTATTTTATAAGATTGTTTAGATGGAAACATAGATGGGGAGAATCGGGGAGGAGATGGATATCGATTTTGTGGTATCGACGGGTGATAACATCTACGATAACGGGATGAAAAGCATCGATGATCCCGCCTTTCAACTCTCCTTTAGTAATATCTACACTTCTCCTAGCCTGCAAAAGCCTTGGTACCTTGGTAAATAATGTCTCCAATCATTAATCCATTCAAAAGTAATTAACGCTAAAATGAAGAAAAAAAAGAAGAAGAGAATCTTATATAATATGACAAGGTTTTTTTGAAGAAGCTCTATTATCATGCCATTTGGCATCCTATGCATCTGACATGTGTCCCTCTCCAATTAATGATAATTAGTGGTGATTAATTTGTAATTATATTGTGGAAAATAAAGCATATCTTTCTAGATATTATAATTAAGTGCCCCTTTTTACCTTATGTTACTCTATCTAATAAATGAAAACCGTAGCATTATATTCCTTTACGTTACGTTTTTACTTCACATTACGTTTTCATGTTACAAATCTCTTATTTAATCAATTCCATAAAATCGAGACACTTGGTGTGTTGTTCTTTTAACGGCTGGAACATTCTTCAAATGCTCTATAAGAAGCTCTCTACTTTAGCTCAAGCAATGATTATGTTTCTAAATTAACTTCTTTTTTATTTAGTTATTTGAAATTTATATTTTCTTCTCTCTCACTCATCTTCATTTTAGTACGTGCATTATCTTCATTCTAGCCAACAATTGTGTTGTAGAACATAAACGACACTGCTGAATTTGAGGTTGGATCGTCAAGAAATTATGCGCTTAGATATGTATGTTCTCATTTAAGTTTTGTTTACTTTTAAATATTTTTAAAATTTGATCAAGCAAAAAGAAACATTATATCCAATTGGTACAATGCATTTCTTATTTTCGTGTTGATTAGCTAAAACATGATTTATTTTCGTAGATTGGTGTTAGTGACGACTAATACTTATTTTGTGCATTTGTTTTGTTCATGTTGTCATAATATGAATAATAACAAAATGACACATTGATTTGTTAAACTTTATTGAGCCGGGTTTGGTAAGATATAAAATAAATTCCTCAAAGATGTGATATTTACTTTTTATCTATTTTATAGTGGGAAAATCACAAATACTAAATGAATTAGGATTTAACCCGAGATACACCGCGGAGCAAAATTGTAATTTCTGTATTTTATATAATAATTTATAATTTATTAGATTTTTAAATTCATACTATAGAATAATTATTTCTCATTTACTTATTTATATTATAATTAATATAGTTGAAATATATGAATATTGTTTTTGGGTAGTTGTATTTGTTTACTTAAATGTGTTAATTTGTATTGATGTACTTAGAAGATTTGTAGGTGTAGAAGTGATGTAGTGTTAATATTGGCAAGCATTTATAATCATGGACTATTATAATAATTTGGTATTATTTTGTATCTAAAATTTTTAACCCGCGGTATATTGCGGATTGATTTTTAAAAACTAAAAACTTTAAATTTTAAGTTATATTTGTTTTGTTAATATTGTTTGGTTTGTTTAGTGTTTAAGATAATATCATTATATTTTAATTTTTAATTTTAGGATTTCACCGGTGCTACGTCGTCCCGTATTAATATCGATTCAAACTCGTCCCATCATATAACCTCGTCCCATAAAATGAAACAGCATTTTTAAATTTTCTTTTTAATAATAGTTTTACTTAAAAGACATATAATTCGAGTCAATTTAAAATTTTGCTTTAAATGGTTGACATAATATATATCTATATATATTTTAATTTTTATAGAGTTCACATATTATAAACTTTTTATAGAACTTAAATATTATAATACTCTAAACATTTTTTAAAGTTTAAATATTACATCCTAATCGGTCGTGGAACCGTAGTTCCAATAACATCGTCTCTTCAAATTGAATCAACAACAATAGGAACCGAAACAAAAGCATGGAAACCAAGAGGAAAAGAGAACGCATAGTTAGCTAACCCGTTGGCAAGACGGTTAGCCTCCCTATACACATGAGTAACCCGGACAATCCAGTCCCTCGAAATAAAGCCATGGCACAAGCGTACCAGGAAAGACAGCGGATGAGAATCCCCAATCCCTGTCGTAAGAAAACCAACCACCAAACTCGAATCCACTTCCAGTACTAACTGTGTAACTCGGTGCTCCCACGCCGTATAAAGCCCATAATACACTCCCCATAGCTCGGCTAGCAGAGCGGAGCATCTCCCAATATTTAAGGCAAGTCCCCCGCACCACTCTCTAGCACTATTCCGCAGCACCCCACCCGCGGTAGCTAGCATCGGATTCCCTTGGGACGCTCCATCGGTATTCATCTTGCTCCAACCATCCTCCGGTGCCACCCAACCAATCATCCTCTCCACGCGGGGCACCTGTGAGCTCTTATTCAAGATCTTCAAATTCGCCTCCGTCACTTCCTTTGAAAGATCCTTAATGAATTTCACACAGTCCCTGCATTTCCCGTTTTCACCAAAAACATTGCCACACCTCCACTTCCAATCCCACCATACCACCATTACAAACGTGGTGGACCAATCTCCAGCCTCTGTATTGGTCCCTGCACACAAATTCTCAAAGAGCCACTCTAACAAAGTTTGGTTAAAGAAAACCTATCTCTTTCTTATAGGTACAATTCGATTCCAGATCCCCGCCATCGCTGGACAATCTCGAAGCACATGTATGATGGTCTCTACTCCTCCCTTACACATTTGGCAAATATCAGTATCAACAATGTGTCTCCTCTTCCTCTCCGCGTTCGTCATAATAACTTGATTAGCCACCAACGAAAGAAATACCTTTACCCTTTCCGGAGCTACTACCCTCCAAACTCGGGAAAAGAAAAAGTACATATTCTGCCTTGGTGATTCATCTCTTGTCAACAGTTTGTAGGCTGATTTAACTGTAAATTCCCCATCCGCAGCCCCACTCACGATAATCTATCCTTTACTCCGGTCATTGTATCAACAATTACTGCCGTCAGCTCTAACTTTGTGGTCGCCAAGACATATGGTGAAATTCGTGCCATGTCCCAGCCTAAACCCTCACTCCACATCTCTCGGACTGTCCATGTTGCATACCCCTCTGGTAAATCACTTTCCACAGCTCCAATAAGTGACTTCCCTAATAACCATTTATCTGTCGAGAACTTAATGTTATTATCATCTCCAACTACCCAGAACTTAATGTATGACTCTGAACCATTGCAAAAAATTTTAAGCAATATGGGACATTGTATACATATTTTTTCTTCATCGATTGAGTAATATATGTCCGTTTTTAAAATTTTAAATCACATTATATGCAGAAAAATATATTATTATATTAATTATATGTATTTTACATAAATTCAAAATAAATTAAATATAAGATTATATAAAAGTGAAAAAAGAATCATATATTAATGTTTAAATTAGGTAGAGAGGTTTTAGGAAATTAGCAATTCATCAAATTTAGAAACAAAATCAATTTGTTCCCATATTTAGAAGCCACAATTTCTAAAAAATTGTTTCGAAAATAATTTGTAATATTAATTAATAGATAAACATTTATAACAATGACATTCTCTTGTAAATAAGTGCCAACTCAAAAATTTATTTCATATTTGTACTTCGAAAATGTATATATAGATTTAAATTGAAATGGAACAATGAAAGATTTACATATACATCTTTATAAGATCATTTGCCATTCTATTTTTTAAAAAAGATTTTACATAAAAACTTAAAATTCAGTCTCAAAATTCATCGATGTTCTATAACGCATATAGCACTAAATCAAGTATTCTTTTAATGTTGTCTTTTTCTATATTTTACCTTATTTCCCACAAATTGATATTAAACAATTAACAACAAATTATCTTATAATAGTTTATTTTAAAAAATTATTTCATTTTTAATTTAACTATAAATCATTACATAAATGAATACTATTAGAGAAGCAAAATGTAAGAAAATTATTAAAATGACATTGTAAATTGAGGAATTGTTAGAAATGCTTTTTTTCCAATACCTCTTTTCAAAATACAACCTACATAAAACCTTTCCTAAATGTCCTTAAAACTCTGAGATTTACCTAAGTACGTATGTAACATTATAAAAGCATACAAAACTACCTTTATATGTATAAATACATTATTAAAACTTATAAATACCTTATAAAATCTTATACATATCTTATAAAACCTTATAAATATGTTATATAAATACATTATAAAACCTTATATATACTTAGATCGAGGCTTGAGTAATACTTACCATTCAGAAGTACCTCATAAATCTTTTCAGGTTTAATGAGACGTAATTTTGAAAATACACAGAAGAAGGAGACATTTTTTAAAAATGGCACACCAAAAAGGGCATTTTCAAAAATAAAATATAATAATAAGGTCATGCAAATTATTTATTATAAAGTGAACGGATAATATGAAATAAATAATATAGCATCTTATCTATTTCTAAAATATTTAAATTTTTTTATAACTTTGAATGATGAAAAAAAAACAAAGACAAAATATAGGATTTTTTTTTACCATTTAAAGACAAAGAAAAATGACCACATGTCGTGAAAAAAGAAGTCAAAAACTTCATGACGAACTCATTTTTAAATTAGAATTAATGGCCAAACCCTTATCTACACTTTTGTTATAGAAAAAAAGAAGGAGAAGATGATGATAGAGTTGAAGGATAAAATCTAATATTTGAGATTATGATCACTGATTTTTTCGTTGGAAGATGGGTATTTTTTCTTTTCAAAAAAAACGTCTACTTTTTATTCTTTGTTGACCTTTTTCCTTCAGAAAAAGTTTTATTACATACTAATTTTTACATTCAAAATAAATTCCATAATGTATATGCCAATACTTTCAATTTTTAGCCACTCTATACGTACTTTACCTTTTCTTTATAACAAAATTCTTAAACTGATAACAAAAAGAATAACTAAAGTGTTAAACAAATTCATGTATAATTATTTGGAAGGACATCAAAACCTATTATTGTATAATTTATTTTGCAATTACATTTTTAATCAGTATCCCACGCATCGCGTGGGTTTCTCTCTAGTAATAGATATGTGACTGTCCATTCTACTCAGTATTGGGGAATCACGACTATAGAGGAGATGTTGAGGCACAATTGAGTCCTATCCTCAGATCTATGGACAGCCGTTGGATTTGCATGAGATCCTTCATCGTTGACGCTGGTATACTAGCCATTACATAGGTTTTACAAGAATGTGATCGATATTATAATATTTTACATGTTTTCCTTACATAATCATATATTTTATGGCTTTCTACTTCTTATCTCCAAATTCGGACAGAGATCGCAGAGCTCTTCTTTGTCGACACAACTCCTTTTGTAGATGCTTATTTCCTCAATCCACAAGACCAAACTTACGACTGGAGCGGCGTATCACCGCGAGAATCCTATCTTCAGACCATCTTAACGGTACTTGAAAACACATATATCTACAGTTTGTAGGAATTATCTTGATGACGATCCCAAATACTAAGTATAATGTGTAGGAGTTGGAGATGGGTCTAAGAGAATCAAGAGCAAAATGGAAAATTGTGGTGGGTCACCATGCTATAAAGAGTGCTTCCATTCATGGGAATACCAAAGAGCTTGAATCTCTCCTCTTACCTATCCTCGAGGTTCATTTTCTTCTTAATTACTCTTGTTACAGTTATACTTATATGCCTCGATTATTTCAAATGCAATTTTAAAAAATAAGCTAACTTATGCGTTTTAATAAAACAAATTATTTCAATTTTTCTTTTCGAAATATTCTAAAAAGTTAGCATTTCCACTTGTTCATAAACTATTTTTTGCAATAAAAGACAAACGCAAGGGAGTTGATATACGATTGTTGATAACAAATAAAATTTGTTTAAAATACTAAAAGTAATAATTTCGTTTGAAAAAGAAAAGCACACTAGTATTATAATATATCACTATATTTTTTTGGAATTTTTCAGGCGAATAAAGTCGATCTCTATATGAATGGTCATGATCATTGCTTGCAACATATAAGCACATCTCAAAGGTAACACCGGTTAATTGTTTATATAGAAACTAAAGCTGCGTTTGGATGAAGCGGATAATAAAAGAGATAAAAGTTATGGATTAAAATTGAGTTATCTTTTTGCAGTCCAATTCAGTTTCTAACGAGTGGTGGTGGGTCAAAGGCATGGAGAGGCTATTACAATTGGACAACACCAGAGGATATGAAATTTTTCTACGATGGACAAGGTTTCATGTCAGTTAAAATCACTAGATCAGAAATGAGTGTCGTTTTTTATGATGTCTCCGGCAACATTTTGCACAAATGGGACACATCAAAAATGTTAGACACGGATTTTTATTTCCCATTGTAAGTTTGTAATAACTCACATGAAAATCAGTCGAAGCACATAAAATTCTACATAAAAATAAATATGATTCTTATGAATGGCTCCAAAAATTCAAGTAAATTAGGCAAACTCAGAATACATGAAGTCCATGCAGAATGTTGGAAAATTTCTGCAAGAGCTATCGTCATGGGATGTATCACAACAGCTTATTTAGCTAAATCATGGTACCAAACAAACACATACCAAAAAATTTGGAGGTTCGTACAATACTTTATCAATATAGTAAATATATTTGGCCATTGTCCGCCTACATATAATAACATCCATATTAAAAATTGGAGCGACATAATTCAATGGGATAAAAGAAAAAACAATTCAACATTGGTGTCCGTGTCTTTTTCAATTCAAACCAAACCAACAAGAATAAAAAGAAAACGAAGTCATTACCAAACATGATACATAAACCCGAATTAGAGAATAAAATATACCAAGAATGGTAAAGGATATGTAAAAACTTGAATCTGAATTCAGAAATAACTTCCTCTATATTTATTCACTTTTTAAGAAAAGAAAAGAAAAGAAAAGTTAACTTCCTAATTTTGTTCATATATTTTAGCAAATAAATATGTAAATACTAGAATCTGAAATTACATTTACAAAGTTATCTATATACAGATTTAGGTTAGTTACCCATCGTAGTACGTGACGATACGCAAATGGACTAATTCCAAACATTACTTTTAGTTTTAGATAAATATGATTTTGACTTTGACCAAACAAAAGAGATACTTATCAAATTAATTAAATTACTCACCTACTGATTAGGCACGTGGTTCATGTTTCACAAAACGCATCGTTTCACCTGTCAAATTTCCCAATCTCTCAGAGCTTTTTATAAACTCCTTCTCTTTTGGAATCAAACAAGGATCTTTGATTTCCGACAATGGCGGCTACTTCACTGTACAAGTCCTGTCTTCTTCAACCCAAGTCTGGCTCCACCACTCGCCTAAACCTTTCTCTCGTTAACCCTCTTACGAATCCGACAAGTAAGTCTTCGGTTTCGAGATAGTGGCGTTTATTCGAATCAAAAGTTTTGATTTTTATGTGTTTTTGTTTCCTCTATGATATAGGAGTTTCGATTTTGGGGAAGAGTCGTAGAGATGTCTTTGCGAAAGCTTCGATTAAAATGGCGGAATCGAATTCGATACCTTCCGTTGTTGTCAATTCCTCTAAGCAGAATGGTCCTATCATCGTGATTGATAATTACGACAGCTTCACTTACAATCTCTGCCAGGTTTCATTTCGAACGCAATCTCCAATCTTCACTACGCTTGTTAGATTTTTGATGTGAAATGTTTTTGAATCTGTTTTGTGTAAAAGCAGCTGAATTTGCATTTTGTTAGAAGTGTTATTCAAGTATGTATTGTGATTGATTGTTTGAATCTCATTATTTCACAATTCAATCTAGTTTCGACATGCTAATAGATAAGAATATGTAATGTAGATTCTCTCTTGTTATGTGATCAGAGACGTTATGTCGCGCCATAGAATCTTATTATCGAAAGCTCCTCTTTGCTTGTTTTTCGTTGTAAGGAGTAATTGTTCATCCAGCAAAAGCTAATACATCACTTCTTTGCTGCCTAAAGTCTGGTCTTTTAAGTAGAATCTTTAATCATGTTCAAAGTTTGAATTGGTGATTTTGTGAGTTGCTACTTTTTGACTTTAGATTGGTTATTCGTAGTTGAAATATCTCGCTTTCTCATGAGATTTTAGCTGCTCTGAATATCTGACATAACGCACATAGATCCCAAATATACAATTTGATCATGTCTTACTTCTAGTTCTCCACGCATAATAGTGTGAGGTGCATACTTTATCGTGATCGTTCTCGTGCTATGGTTTCTTCTGCTTTAGTATAAACAAAATTTTGAATTGTTATTTTTTCCTACAGTATATGGGAGAGCTAGGATGCCATTTTGAAGTTTACCGCAATGATGAACTTACAGTAGAAGAGCTGAAAAAGTAAGAAGAAACTATATGCATTCTGTTTAAAACGTAATCTGGCTAATCGCCTGGTGTTGATTCCTTTATTATTCTCTCCCTCTTGCAGAAAAAATCCAAGAGGGGTGTTGATTTCTCCTGGGCCTGGTACTTATTTTGGCCTCTGAAATTTCTTTTCTGATTATGTGATGTATCTTTTTGAAGCGCCGGAGAAGTGGATAACACTTTTCTTGAATTTGATAGGTACCCCTCAAGACTCTGGGATTTCCTTGCAAACTGTTTTGGAACTGGGACCTCGTGTTCCTTTATTTGGAGTATGTATGGGTTTGCAGTGTATAGGAGAAGCATTTGGAGGTTAGTTGCATATAAAGAAGACATCTTATTTTCCCGTATCAGTGTTCTAACATGGTTTTATTCTTTATGTCATATATCAATAGCTTAAATGCAATTTTGTTTGAACTTTTATTAGGAAAGATTGTGCGGTCACCATTTGGTGTTATGCATGGGAAGAGCTCAATGGTTTACTATGATGAGAAAGGAGAAGAAGGCTTGTTCTCTGGATTATCCAAGTATGAATCAGATATTTCTGTGTTGAATTATATAGTTAATCATAAGTCTGTAAATGTTTAATAATAAAACAAATCTTGTTGGCATGTTGTTTTCAGCCCTTTCCTTGTAGGTAGATATCACAGCCTCGTGATCGAAAAAGATTCATTTCCTAGTGGTGAACTCGAGGTTACAGCATGGACAGAAGATGGTCTGGTTATGGCTGCCCGGCACAGGAAGTACAAGCATATACAGGTAAAAACTTACTCAAGTGTTTTCATGTATCTTATTGCCTCCATTCAAAACAGAACTGTTGAAGTCTTGTAAAAATTCTTCACAGGGAGTTCAATTTCATCCGGAGAGTATTATAACAACCGAAGGCAAGACAATTGTCCGCAATTTCATCAAACTCGTAGAGAAAAAGGAATCTGAGAAGCTGACATAGACTAGCCTGAATGAGAAAATCAGCTGTGTTTGATTAGTGCATCCCTGTAATAATGTTTTGCCAATGCAAAATGTCATCTTCCCATTGTTTCTTTAATAAATATTCGATTCGTTCCTCCACTAGGGCCTTTCGGTTTACTATGGTGATTTACAGATGCCTAGGGCCTTTCGGTTTTTATTTGGTTCCTAGCTAAGCAGCTACCCAGAACGTGTCTAGTACTTTCACTTCAGGACGAACCTAAAAAGGCTCGATAGTATTCACAGTGGTGTTGGAACATAACATTACATGAGATAAGGTCTAGTCAGAGATCACTTTCGTATTATCATACTGGCTTTCCTTTAAGTAAACGCAGAAACAGACATTTATATTGTTTACTCCATAATTGGTCACAGTACTGAAAACCATGTCACGCTTTGCTTGCGGATGTATGTATAGTTATCTTGCAAGCTAACAAGTGACTAGAACAATCGGTTGATAAAATTGACTAGCAGACGACAATGCAAGAAACAAATAAGGTACTTAACAATCTCAAGAAAGAAACTTAAACCATGACAAGAGTAAGTCTGACAAGAGCAACTAAAAGAGGAGAAAGATACATGAAAAAGCCGAATGGAAATGTAACTGAGAATTGACTAGCAGTCTTGAGAAATGCAAGAAGCAAAACTAAACATCTCTTTCTTTCCTTTTGCGTGGTTAGTTGAGCTGCACCAAACTTGGAAGCAAAGCAGAAGAGCACACAAGCGGGGGACAATATCTAGTCAGCATACGCCCGGTTATGGGACAAGGTTCCCCGACATCGGGAGCTACTCCAAGACTCAGAGGTTTAAAGAATCCGTCTTGTCCACTGATAAAAGCTGTGTGGCAACGAGCGGTCTCAGTTGGTAGGTATCCGTCTAGATCGAACACCACAGCGACTTTCTCTTCCTCGTCAATGAAGAAAGTCGCAGCCATACATTTGTCAAAGCGAACACCACTGAGTGTGAATGGTCTCATATCCACTGTCAAAAACTTGCTCCAGGACACAGAGTTGGGCTCGATTCCAGTTGTAACCCAAAACTCAACTGTGCTAAACCGATCTTCACTAAAACCCTCATTTTGATATAGCACCGCGAGCTGATCGTCTCTAACACAAGAGAGGGTCACAGCCTCGTCGATGCAAGAGTGAAACGGAAGAGGCAGGCGCGGACCAAATGTCTCTGTTGTGAAATCAAAACAGAGTAAGAAATCTTCCCTATCTGTTACCTCTCCATTTTCATCAGCTTCTAGATTCAATACGTTCTCACAAGCAAAAAAGTAGCAATTTCCCTTCACAGACACGCCCCCGCCGCCGCCGAGTGCCCAAGGATCTATCTCCCAGTCGCGAGTGACTTCGAGAACCCTCCATGAATTAGAGCTAAAGTCATAGATTTCGTACCTGGGAACGCGAGTTATCTCCACAAACCTCAAGATTTTGTGGTGACAGTTGATCTTGTCATATCCGAGAGCATACCTGTCTAGTATGTTGAAATCTGTTCTTGGTCCGACACACTTTGTTTGCCCCAAATAAGGGTTCCAAACCACGAGCCTAGAGTGGTCCTTAGCGACGCATAACAATAAGCCGTCGCAATGAAAGACTTTAGATATCTCGACTTGATTAAGCAAATCTACTTGCTTTATAGATAGATCAACCAAGTCTTCTTCGTCTTCCTTGTCCTTGCTGCGGCGGAGATGGAATCTAATTGAACAAACCTTTGAATCCATCGTCATGAACCCTAAAAACTGCTGCCTTGCCACTGACGCTTCACCCAAAATCAATTCTTTGGTTAAAGTCTTCCATAATTTGCAAGTGGATCTCACCGCTCTCAGAGATGTTATAGGAATCTTGGTGAATATCATCCCTACCAATTCTGGTGGAAGATCGCACATACTCGTCCTCTTCACTCTTCTTCCAACTTTTTTTTTTCCGGCTCTCGTCATTTTTCCAACCTTTCGACAGAAGCTGCGCAATAGAAATGAGGGTTTTGTCTTTGATTATTATCATGATATATATTGTTAGGTTCCGTATTCCAAAAAAAATTACTCTATTCGTTTGTAGAATATATATTCAATTTAAGAAAATCAAATTCTTTCTATTTTTCCTTAGCATCAATAATTAACTTTCTTTAATACAATGTGTTATCTTCATGTAAAAAGTTAATCTAAAAACAGAGCAACATTACTACGTTTTTTCAAAGAAACCAATGTAAACAGCTCTCAACAAATGTTTAGTTCCAATCGCACAAACGAATCCAATTACATCTGTTATATGTCCTACTTTATATACTAAGACATTTGAAAATATACAAGTTTGAAAAATCATCCATTTTCTGGCCGCTATATAGATAGAGTAACTCACCCTCACATATGAGAACCTAAAGGTTGGGATTGTATGGCTAGATAAGGAGGAAGCTCCTCTTCCATGGAACAGGGTAACTTTGATGCCAAATTCATTGCTGCAAGCCTGCAAAAAGGCTTATAGCTGTATGCATAATGGTGTTGGAAACATAACATTACATGAGATAAGATCTAGTCATAGATCACATTCGTATAATCATTCTGGCGGCAAAGTAAACGAAGAAATAGACAACTTATTGTTTACTCCATATTTTGGTCTAAACTTAAAATCATGGCATGCTTTGCTTGAGGATGGTGCAATTCACAGCTATGGTATATATAGTTATCTTGCATGTGAACAAGTGACTAGAACAATCACTTGATAAATTGACTGCAGACGACGACAACGCAAGAAACAAATAAGGCACTTAACATCTCATTGACGAAAAGAAAGAAACATAAACCATGACAAGAGTAAGTCTGACTAGAACAATCGGTTGATAAATCGACTAGCAGAGACAATGCAAGAAACAAGTAAGGTACTTAACCATCTCAAGAAAGAAACTTAAACCATGACAAGAGTAAGTCTGACAAGAGCAACTAAAAGGGGAGAAAGATACATGAAAAAATGCTGAAATGGAAATGAAACTGAGAATTGACTAGCAGTCTTGAGAACTGCAAGGAACAGAAAACTAAACATCTCTTTCTTTCCTTTTGCGCTGTTGGTTGACTTGCACTAAACTCGGATGATAAGAAGAAGAGCAGACAAGCGGAGGACGATATGTAGTCGGAATATGCCCGGTTCTGGGACAAGGTTTCCCGACATTGGGAGCTACTCCAAGAGTCACAGGTTTAAAGAATCCATCCTTTCCACTGATAAAAGCTGTGTGGTAACGAGCGCTCTCGGTGCGTAGGTATCCGTCTAGATCGAAAACCACAGCGACTTTCTCTTCCTCGTCAATGAAGAAGGTGGCACCCATATAATTGTCAAACAGAACACCAGCGAGTGCGATTGGTCTCATATCCACTGTTAAAAACTTGCTCCAGGACACAGAGTTGGGCTCAATACTAGTAGTAACCCAAAACTCAACTGTGGTAAACCGATCATCACTATGAAGACCCTCATTATGATATAGCACCGCGAGCTGCTGGTCTCTAACATTAGAGAGGGTCACAGTCGCGTCGACAGTAGAGTGAAACGGAAGAGGCAGACGCAGACCAAATGTCTCTGTTGTAAAATCAAAACAGAGTAAGAAATCTTCAAGATCGGTTATCTCGCCATCTTCATCAGTTTCAACACTCTGACTATCCTCATGCGCAAAAAAGTAGGTATTTCCCTTCACAGAAACGCCGTAGAGGCGATGATTATAGTTCATTTCCCCGTTGGGAGTGACCTCGAGAACCCTCCATGAATTAGAGCGCAAGTCGTAGATTTCGTACCTGGAAACGGAAACGAATCTTGTTTGCACCATCCTCAATATTTTGTGGTTACGGTTGATGTCGTATCCAAGAGCATAGCTGTCTCCTATGTTGGATTCTGTTCTGGGTCTGATCCATCTTGTTTGCCCCAAATAAGGGTTCCAAACAACGACCCTCAAGTTGTCCTTAGCCACGCATAACAACAAGCCGTCGCAGTGATACACTTTAGATATATCGACTTGATTAAGCAAATCTACCTGCTTTATAGATAGATCAATCAAGTCTTCTTCGTCTATCTTGTCCTTGTTGCGGCAGAGATGGAATCTAATTGAACAAACCTTCGAATCCATCGTCATGAACCCTAAAAACTGATGCCTTGCCGCTGACGCTTCACCCAAAATCCAATCATTGGTTAAAGTCTTCCATAATTTGCAAGTGGATCTCACAGCTCTCAGAGATGTTATGGGAATCTTGGTGAGGATCTTCTCCCCTACCAGCTTCGGTGGAAGATCGCACATACTCGTTCTCTTCATTCTTCTTCCAACTTTTTTTTTTCCGGCTCTCGTCATTCTTCCAACTTTCGATAGAAGCTGCGCAATAGAAAATTAGGGTTCTATCTTCTTGTTTTTGACAAATTATGATATATGTTCGGTTCCGTAGTCAAAATGAATTACTCTATTCCTTTTTCTTATGTGGAAAATTCAATTTAAGAAAATCATATTCTTTCAGTTTTGTTTAGCATCTAGATTTCAAGAATTACCTTTTCATACAATGTTATCTTCATGCAACCCACTAGCACTCTCTAAGAAAATCATATTCTTTCAGTTTTATACATGCCCAAAACATTACAAGGTTTTCAAAGAAACCAAATGTAACCAGCTCTCAAAAAATGTTTAGTGCCAATTACACAAACGAATTCCATTACATCTGTTATATGTCCTACCCTACTCAGGCATTTAAAACTACACAAGTTTGAAAAATCGTCCATATTCTGGCCGCTATATAGATCGGAACCTTAAGGTTGGGATTGTTTGGCGAGATAAGGAGGAAGCTCCTCTTCCATGGAACAAGGTAACTTTGATGCCAAATTCATTGCAAGCGTCAAGAATCTGTATATCCAACCACCATTTGCGCATAACTAACGTTACAAGTCTCTTCAGAACCAGACACCTTTAAATATAATGACCAGTGTGGTTCTTTCCGTATCACCGACCCAGGGTCTCTTAAATCCTTCACAGTTTTGAAAAGGGCACCACTTGCAGTCTATCATAACACAGAAACAAATCAGCATACCAATAACTTATGTCATCAAAACATGAGAGACATAGACACAACCTCCAAAAGAGGTTATCAGTAAATAAAAGCAGTTCCTAGCTCAGCAGCAACCCGGAACGTGTCATGACCAACCTGAAAAGTCTCCATAGTATTCATAATGGTGTTGGAAACATAACATACATACATGAGATAAGATCAGAGATCAGTTTCGTTTCCTTTAAGTACACGCAGAAACAGACGACTTATTGTTTAGTTGTTTACTCCATGTTTTTGTCTTAATTCAGTAAGTTGCAACAAACTAATTAGAAACACGAGTTTTTGTTTTTCGGAGACAGGCCTGACACAGAAAGAAACCACACAGTGAGTGCTAGCTGACCTCAAAACAGAATTCATCAAGGTGGTTACTTTGTGATATTGAAGAAACTAAAAAATGAATAACGAGTAGCTGAAGATACATGAAACTCTTTCATATTTTTGAGGACGCTAAATCCAGATACATCAATTGGTTTTGAAACAGTTGGTTCTGTTAAAACTTAAGAGTAATACCTAAAATAGTTTAATGTTCAACAATTAATGTATTCAGAGTAATGAAATTCGATTGAGCTAAAAAAAACCATATTGGTTCGATCTTTAGATTACTAAACCAGAAAAAGAAAAGCAGGAGGAATCAAAACTTCAATATGGTTGACAACGAGCACATACTCTTCAGTCGATGGTAAGATGACGTGCTAAGTCAGTGTGCAGTGCATGACCCGCCTGCATTTGAAAGAAAATACTATCAGGAAACTGTTTTCTCTTTAGATGACGAGAAAACTATACGAAGCGAAGCTAGTATTTACCTTAAATGCGATTATGTGAGCCACAGGGAGTCCTCCATTTCCGCCTCGTGCTACAAGGGAGAGGTCACCGATTAGGTCAAGGATCTTGTGGCGACATGCTTCATTTTCAAACTGTAGAGGAGGATTCATCCATCCATGCTCGGCGCTGCATCAAAGACAGTTTTAGTTGAATATTCTGTCCCTTAAGTCATCAAAATGTAAGATTATTTACCTACAAACGATGGCATTATCCAGAGAACCTCCTTTAATGAGCCCTGCTTCACGCATGCGCTCCACCTGCAAACAAAACCCTCAGACACAGATGGTTGAAGAAGGAACACCAGTTTACTGATTCTAAAGCTCCTAAGCAACAACAATGGAACTAACCTCTTCATATACACAGAAGGTTCTCGATGGTGCGATATCCCTTGCAAAGGAAGACTCATGGATAGGTCTCCAAGAAAACCATTGGCAGCCTATAGCAGGCACCTGTAAAGTTCATCATCATACACAACAGACCGAATCAATAACGGTATATGCACAAGCAGAAAAAGAAGTTTGTGTTCTTCTGTATTCTCAAAATGTCATTAAACTGAACCTGTGGGAAGTCGATACCACAAGTGATCCGAGTCTCTAAAGCCGGAAATGCAGCGACAAAAGAATCGTTCTTGCAAACATACACAGGCTTGTTCACATGTGCGACCATCTTCTCCACACTTTCACCAACATGGTTTTGAGCCACCTTTAAGCCAACTCCTTGTATCGCATTGACCCATTCTTTAGCTGATCCATCAAAAATAGGGACCTGTCACTTAGTTAGTGTTGCCTACACTCATCTCCTCCAATGTACCAAGTCTCTAAAACTAAGAGCTACACTACACAGCATACAATTCCGATCAAATCGACAATAGGAGACATTGATTCAACCAATGATTACTCAAAAAGGTATATGTATTCAGGTGACAAACCTCGACTTCTCGATCATCTGAACTTTCGCTTTCGATTTGAATCCTGCAATTATCAACTCCCTTCGCCTCAAGAGCTGATAACAAATGCTCAACGGTTCGGATTTTGAGCTCATCTTTCAACAGCGTAGTGCAAAGAGGCGATTCCTGAGCAAATTCAATCGACGCAGGAATGAAACTGGACCGAAACTCGAAGTATCTACCAGCTCCGGCGATCTCCGGAATTAGCTTCACCGTCGAGAACTTACCGGAGTGCAGAGATTTTCCTTTCACTTCCACAGATCCCGCGAGAGTTTGCTGTAATCGTCCACACTATAGTATTGAACCCCACGAAAATAAGAAAGTCACAATGATTCCAATGGGTAATAAAGGCGTATATACATGAAAGTGTGCGCAAGAGAGGTTTACTGGATTCAAGGAGACTATCGGCGACGATGCGGCGGAGGAGTATCGGATCCAAGTGACGAGAGACGACGGCTTAGTGGCTTTGACGGTGACGGTGACGGAGAGTCTCATTGATTCAGCGTCCAATTAATTATTAACCTAACCGGATTATTGATTTTAAGTAAACTAGATAAGTATTGAGTTAAAAAAACTTCTAAACCGGGATTAATAAGTATGACTCAGCTTCTAAACCAGGATCAAGAAACAAATAAAGGTATTACTTATTATAATCATCTCACGGACGATAGGGTAGGAAACTTGAACCATGACAATGGTGCAATAGTCAATTGAATAAAGAGACCAAGTGACAAGAGAAAATGCAAGTAACAAATCAAATCATTGTGCACGTGGCTCGTTCGTTTCTGTGATGACAAAATTAAGGTACGTTTTAAGATTTTATTTGGAGGTTAATCACAAAAGAATAGTATTAGTAAAGAAATTTGAAAAACCCCAATGTAATTTCCAAGTGAATAAGAATATGTATTTGGAGGTAAATGACAAAAGAAAAAAAGAAAAAAAAAAAAAAACTTGCCTAGAGATGTAGTCAAACTTCTATAAATTAATATTCGATAAATTTATAAATACGATAAATTAATAAAAAAAAAAAAAATTGGTGCGTATGGAGGCAATACCTCTATTTTTATTAATAATTAAAAAATAAATCAAATACAAACTCGTCGTGGAATCGTAGTTCCACGCTCATCGTCTAACAAAATCGAAAAAACGCAACTAGGCATCAATTCAAGTAAATGAAAACCTAAAGGTAAAGAGAAAACATAGTTGGCTAGGGCGTCCGCAAGACGGTTAGCTTCCTTATACACATGTGAAATCCGGACTGGTTCCGAATCGGTTCAGTGTAAAAATTAAACTAATTCGATAATAATTTTTTTGAAATCCCTATGTAAAAGTATGGTCCCAATAATATAATAAATTAATAATCATCTAAATTTGCATATATAATTTTTAACATTTTGAATATGCATAATTTTCATAAAAATACCCAAACTTTTTGGTAAGTTTTTATTGAATATGGATAATTTTTGTTTTAATAGTCGTATAGATTTTTCAAATACAACAATGAATGTCACTATTTATGAATTTGAATTTATGTATATTGATTGTATATGTGAATTCTATAATCTTTATTATTCATTGTCAAAAAAAATGTTTTCTCTTCCAAATATTAAATGTTTAAGTCTAAACCTATAAAATTTATAACATCCAAACATTAATTTTATTTAGATCGCATTCGTATCTAAACTAAGATGGTATATAATCCTAATAATATAACCTGCTCAATTCAAAAACCAAATTCCTATTGAATAGTTTTGTTGTTTATTAGGTCGAGAGGGTTGCAATTATGCTTAATTTTTTCTTGCTACAACTCGTGGGTCTACAACTTACGTCTTTAAGCTTGAAAAATCCGGAGAAGTACGAATTCCGTCCAAAGCAGTTGCTTAAACAGGTTAGTGACGACTATTTTTACTCAGCCTCTTCACCAAAATAGAAGTATCTAGACTCTACTAGTCTACACTAAAATAGAATGTAGACCAGTAGAGTCTAGATAGAGTAAGTCATACTAGTAGACTCTAGATAGAGTAAGCCATACTAGTAGAGTCTAGAAGTGCAGGTATGATTTCCTGTACTGGACAAATGCCACTCCCGGATGGGCAGGGTCCCTGACAGTCTTTCGCTGTAGCACCCATCAGTGCATCATGGATGATGACCATGTCGTCGTCAAAAGCGTAAAGGTGAACTTTGAAGATTGTTAGTAAAAAATGTGTGCTACAGCGAAAGACTATCAGGGACCCAAAATGTGTGCTACTAGCGTCACACACACTAGTCTACAGTCTACACCAAAATGTGTGAACAAAAAAAAAAAAAAAATTGACTGGACAGTATTGTGATTCCATTGGTGAACTTTGAAGATTGTTAGTAAATATGTTAATCTCGCAAGAAGAAACTCAAGAAAACATATTCTCCTATGCCATAGCTAGTGATAGACGATCATAACAAACAAGTCAAGTCCTCCTCTTAAATTGAATCCTCTTTCATCATAATTATTTGTCTCTCTACTTGAACAGAACAAGTGCTGTTTTTTTGCAGCTATTCAAAGAAGGAGAAAATATGCTTAAGATAATAGACAGCTCCGACCCAATAATATTCAGTACCGGCCTTTGAACAACAAAATTTTTTGGGGTCTTTTACTAAAACTTATGTTTTTGGGTTTTTATCAATTATATGCTATAATTTTTAATGTTTTGGGCTCTAATTCATACTAAAATTTGTTTTGGGACCTTATTTTAAAAATATTTAAAATCGATTGGGTCTTTTTGTCTAAAGTGTTTTTTATAAAATGTTGATGAGCCTTAGGCCCAAGCACTTCTGTCCTACCCACTTGAGTTGGGCCAGATAATAGACAACGATTAAAGAATCATTCAAGAATCAAGGGAGTTGGAAACAAAATGTTAGAATATGCATAATTAGAATGTAGCAAGTAATAGAATTGAGAGATTGAAATGAAGAACATGAAGATTAAAAAAAATGAAGATTACCAGGATGATGAACAGTGACAAAATGTATGGAGAAAAATGTGAAAGATTTTATTTCTCTTCTCTTAACCTTTTTGTTTACAACAACACAGATATATATGTTAGGGTTACAAAAGGGAGGTTATACCTAATCTGTTTTTACGTTCAGGGGCCCACTTATGCATAAGTCTGCCAATATACTCTAATTTGAAGTCGAAAGTGGCATCAATAATCCTCCATGAATTGGAGTTTATTTCATAAATTTGGAATTTGTGGTCGTAGCCAAAACCCGTGTGTGCCAATATATTGTAGCTATTATCGTTGCATCTTTTATCTTGGTAGGATCCGAGAGAATAGTTGTCGTATAAGTCATAACAATTTTCTCGTTGAATCCACCTTATATGACCAGTACACAGGTTCCATACCACGAGCCTAGTATTGTCCTCCTTGGTGACGCAGACACATAACATTAAGCCATCGCAATGAGAGACTTTATATATCTCGAATTCTTCATCTAGATAACTAGGATATTTAGGGTTGATTAGGCTAAATTCAGCTGTGACCTTTACATGTGGAAGTCTGTGGAGATCGACACTCATCGAGCGTACCCTAAGCCCCTTGGACATGTGAATCAGGAACTGCTTTGGGCCTTTATCCAAGTTCTTTCTTGTGAATCTCCTATCCTTGAATAAACGGTTCCATCCTTTGCAAGTAGATCCTAACCATTTCAAAGACATAGCTGGAACGCGACAGAATATCTCTTCTAACAGATGCTCTGGAAGTTCCGATATCATCGTCGTTTGATTCATTGTTGGTTAGGGTTTTGGTATAGTATTAAACGTTTATATAGATCCATGCTTACGCGACGAACAATTTAAGTTACTTTTACGGCAAGTCATAACTCTTTAATTTGTTTCCTATAAAAAGCGTCTTTCTTTTTTTCTTCAATCTTCAATACATGAAATGCGGAAGAAAGTGAAAATTGAAAGAGCCGAAAAAATGGAATATGTAATGACATATCACTATATAAATGTTTGATTTACTTAGTGAAAAGTGCAATATCATAACTTAATAAATTTATCTTATACCATATGATTAATAAATAAAAAAAATCGAAAATTCTCTTAAGCAAAGGATGTAACCTTTTGTTCGCTTTTGGTCTATATCTTTTCCGCAACACAATTGCAGCTCACATAGTGTTGTTTTTTTTTTGTGTTTGGATTTCTGCAGAGTATAAGAGAGGATGAGAGACATGAGAGGAACAAAATCATCAAATTTGAACACTGAAAGTCCATTAAAAAACTAAGAAGATTTACTTTTATTTTCCTTTAGGATTATGCTCCGTTTAATCAAATTGTTCGGCACAGTAAGGTAGAAAATAAATGACAATCCTAATGGAACCCATAAAATTACGTTACAACCTTTTAAAACAAAAGTAAATATATATGCGTTGTGAAATAATGATAGGATAGGCATATATTAAGGAGTGGTATTAGGATCAAAGTCGCTAGACTCCACTCGCTTTGTCTGATTCTTCAAGGCATAGCAAAGAAGTGGCACATGGGTTCGCGCAGCTTTCTTCTTTGCTTCCCTTTATCATTTTCTCTCCTTTATTTTATCCTCCACTCTCCTTTCAGGTGACGTACGTTACGGTAAAACATGGTTACATGGACGACTTTTATTTATGTGTAAATTAAACTATAATAAAGTCTTCAAAATCAGAGGTTAGAAAAACAGTTTAGAATTTGCGGTATTAAAAACTTAGTACGTAGTCGGCGGTACAAATGTTTTATCATGAAACAATAACGAGGTTAAGAAATGACATGCACGTAAAAAATAACGTCTCCAAAATGTGAGAGAATAATTTTCCTTTTGGGCAATGGAGTTCATTTCTCCCTAAATGATGCCCAAAACGCTGTATTCATAAGAGAGTACCTTTCTCGAGTTTAGATGTTGCATTATGGTACCAAAGTGGTGGTATACCGTATACATATCAGCATTTCCCATGAACCATATGTGTATTAGCTAGGTGCAATGCAGCAACTAGCTAGTCTTTATATACAAGCCATAAATTCAAATATATTCGTTAACTATGTGTTTAATGTGTCCAATTACGTATTATCATCTATGTAAAATGCGTTTTACACTACAATATATATAGTTAACTACTCCATGGTAGCTGAAATTTATCACAACGTACCTAATTCCGAGTTCTAAATCCAGTGTATTGATATTCTTTATCAATAGTTTTGTAATATAAACTGAGTTTAGTCTAGCTAGTCGTTCTCTTTGTTACTTTTGAATTTAAAAATAGTCTAATAGATCTATATTTTATCGACAGGTCTCGTTGTAGTGGAAGCATGTGAGTACGGAATACTGATTAAATAAAATATCGGTTAAGTAAGATTGCAGAATTTCCGACTTGAGGAATATCTAATTGTATAAACTGCTTAATGTGTACTTCTTGTATCTGGGAAAAAGGACAAAAGTATTGTTTTCTTTCTGTAAATTTGAAGAAAAGTTTCAGACATTATCCTGATTTTATACATTTGAACTATCCATAATCCACCTATATAACTTGCATTTAACTACTTTACTAAAATCACTTAAAACATTTTATTTTTTTGTTAAAGACCTTAAACAATGTTTGAAACACTAAATTCTACAGATAATTTTAGATGGGTTGAACAAATCTGTTATTTTCAACAAGGTAAACATGCTTCTATAACACAAATATATTTATGAAAATAGTCATATAGCTATTTATTCCTAACAAAGGCTAATAATCTCAAGTGATCTTTAAGAATAGGATTCTAAAATATGAGTAGAATAGGTCATAGGTGTTAAGATTCATATACTTTTCTTATTGTTGTCCATTAATTTTTACATATAGAAGTTAGAACCAACCAACCTTACTTGAGAAAAAAGAGAAGAAGCAATATCCCTCGAAAAGAGAAAAAGTGAAACAAAGATATTTGGGACATGGAACATTTTCCCTCTTTTCATGCGCAAAGCATCTAAATCTAATCTTCACTAATCATACCTTTTTCTTACTAATAATCAGACAATTGAACATATTGACCAAGTCAACATATTTTATCCGCAATAATTAAATTATCTACCTTACAATCAAACGATGAATTCACAACTAACTAAATAAATTACAAAAACACCAGAAAGAATTCCATGACATCAACACTTTAAATGAACAAAATGGATACTACTGTAGTCAATGAAAATTCAACTAATTTTCTACTACAAAAAAACTCAGATTTATTTCTTATTATTACTTTTGTATTAATTATTTCTTTAATATAGATACACACCAAGAATTAACTTTTTTTATAAAACAATATTAGAAGAGATCTAAGCGACAAAATTCACTGTAAGCTACTAAAGAAAAATAGTAGAAAACATAGTACTACTAGTTCAATTTGCTTACTTAATTAGTTAATTGACTAATCAGAAAAAGTAACATGTTTGAAGTTAGTGTTTAATAAGAAGATCATGGATTAATTAAATTAATACAAATCTTGCGTCATCATCTCTCGCTGTCTTGTCAAATCTAATAGACCGAGAGAAAAAGAAAACAACTGTAACTGCATTTATTTATAAATCTCTCTTCTCTCTCACTTAAGCAAAACCAAAAAAAAGAGTTTTTTTTTCTCTCTCGCATTTGGATTTGGAAGTGCTTTTGTATATATCCAAAAGATCAGATCGGAGATGTCGGATGTTTCCGGTGACGGAGATGTATCGGCGACGGTTACTGAACATGAAGTAACTCCACAACCGCCGGTTTCTTCGGCGACGTATCCGTCACTGACGGTGTCGGCGTCTTATAAAGAGAGCGGTGGAGGTAAAAGCTCGTCGAAGCGGAGACCAATTAGGCCGAGTTTTGACGCTGCGGCTGATAATGAGTTTATTACTTTGCTTCATGGTTCGGATCCAGTGAAAGTGGAGCTTAATCGACTAGAGAATGAAGTTAGAGGTTTGATAATGCTGCTCGATCTATTTGATTTTGTGTCGATTCGGTTTCTGATTTTGATTTGGGGTTGCAGATAAGGATCGGGAGTTGGGAGAAGCACACGCTGAGATCAAAGCGCTTAGGTTGTCTGAGAGACAAAGAGAGAAAGCTGTTGAAGAGGTTTGTGTCTGAAGATTTTTCTATTTTTGTCTGAAATTTTTATCAATTTCAACATTTTAGCAATTCTTAAGAAAGTTTAATCATTGGTTTAACCAATCAATAATGGTTGTTAAATTATACACATTTAGGAATTCTCAGTGAAGATTATTAAACTCTCTATTTTTGGTTCAACCAATTAAATAATGGTTGCTAAATTTCATCTGTGTCACTTTATTTCATTACAAATTCTTAGTTTGCTTGTTAGTTGAAGAAATAATTTATCATGAATGGTTCAGGTGCATTTATCGTAGTGTGGTATTTGGGCAATGTGGTTGGAGAGCATTCAGAATTTAACTATGTCTTTTAGTTTTGATCAATGATTGCATTATGTGTTTTGATCTTGACTTTTTGTTTTAACTGTCAGAGATTTGTAGAAGTTGTTGCAAGTGAGAGTTTAGGCTTCTCTTGGATTGACTTTTCCTCAATGTTTTTTTTTTTGTAATGTTAGCTTACTGAGGAGCTTGCTAAGTTGGATGAGAAGCTCAAGTTGACCGAATCCATTCTCGAAAGCAAAGTATTGCTCGATAATCCTTCATTGGTTCGATTATGTTCACCTTTCGTTTCTTATGCTAATAGACATATGATATCAACCCTGTTGCAGAATCTAGAAATCAAGAAAATCAATGAGGAAAAGAAGGCATCAATGGCTGCTCAGTTTGCTGCTGAAGCCACCTTAAGAAGGGTTCATGCTGCTCAAAAGGATGATGACATGCCTCCAATCGAAGCCATCCTTGCTCCATTAGAAGCTGAACTTAAGCTTGCACGATCAGAGGTATTTACATTGCCATTTTAAGTCTAATTGGTTGCTGTACACTTCCATATGGGATATTGAAAATTTATGAGGTCACTGATCAAGTCCCTTGTATCTGTGTAGATTGGAAAGCTTCAAGAAGATAACAGGGCTTTGGACCGTCTGACTAAATCAAAGGAAGCTGCCTTACTTGAAGCTGAGAGGACCGTTGAAGCTGCCATGGCAAAAGCCGCCATGGTTGATGATCTTCAGAATAAGAACCAGGAGCTTATGAAACAAATAGAGATCTGTCAGGTTCTGTGGTCGTCATCTTGCTCTTTGTATTTACTTAAATCTATGCATCCGCTCGTCGCACGCCGTTTGCCAACAATCTGATTAATTTTGTTTTCTGTTTTAGGAAGAAAACAAAATTCTAGACAGAATGCACAGGCAGAAGGTTGCTGAAGTGGAAAAGCTTACTCAGACTGTACGAGAGCTGGAAGAGGCTGTTCTTGCAGGTGGTGCTGCTGCAAATGCCGTGAGGGATTACCAGCGGAAATTTCAAGAGATGAATGTAATTAAACACACTTCACAAGAGCCATAGAGTCTCTAGTTTCTTGTCACAACAATTGCCTATTGATGTAGGAATTATTCTTGTTTTGTCTTTCAGGAAGAACGGAAAACTCTTGATCGGGAGCTTGCACGTGCAAAGGTTACAGCAAACAGAGTGGCCACTGTGGTAGCAAATGAGTGGAAAGATGGTAATGATAAAGTGATGCCTGTGAAGCAATGGCTCGAAGAACGAAGGTTTCTACAGGTTTACTTTGATATGATGGCCCCTCTCCTAGATTCTTCGGATGCAAATTATTTGCAGTGAGCAAGGCCCATCCATATCTACATTCTCACTTCTAGATCCTCAACTTTTTGCAGGGAGAAATGCAGCAACTACGTGATAAACTCGCCATAACAGACCGGGCTGGTAAATCAGAAGCACAGTTGAAAGTAATAAATTTTATCCATTAGTCAGCTTCTTTCAGATGATCTTGTTACACAGAACAAGAAGTAATATATTTTGTTTGTGCAATTCCAGGAAAAGTTTCAACTGCGGCTTAAAGTGCTTGAGGAGACACTTCGAGGAACTTCAAGCAGCAGCACCAGGAACACACCCGAGGCAAGAAGCATGAGTAATGGACCTTCTCGCAGGCAGTCACTTGGTGGAGCTGAAAACTTACAAAAATTTCCATCAAACGGTGCTTTATCAAAGAAAGCTCCAGCTTCTCAGATGAGACATTCCTTGTCTATTAATTCAACTTCTGTGTTGAAGAATGCTAAAGGAACATCTAAGTCATTTGATGGAGGCACAAGATCCTTGGATAGAGGCAAAGCACTTTTAAACGGACCTGGTAATTATTCCTTCAACAAGGCTACTGATGACTCTAAGGAAGCAGAGTCAGGAAATGGGTGGAAAGAAAATGCAGAGGAAAAGCCACAAAGTGAAGACCCTGAAGCAGCAACTGAGGACAGTGTCCCAGGTGTCTTGTATGATTTACTACAGAAAGAAGTAGTTTCTTTGAGGAAAGCCTCTAATGAAAAGGATCAAAGCCTCAAAGACAAAGATGATGCCATCGAGGTAACAATTCTATTTCTTTATGCTATATAAATCTTGTTTAAAGAAGAACATGCTTGTTGTAAACGGAGGAAGTATTGATGATTTTGTAGATGCTAGCGAAGAAGGTGGAAACATTAACAAAGGCAATGGAGGTTGAAGCAAAGAAGATGAGACGGGAAGTAGCTGCGATGGAAAAAGAAGTTGCTGCAATGCGTGTTGAGAAAGATCAGGACGCCAGAGCCAAAAGGTTTTCAAATAGCAAGAGCCCTTCCAACACCGCCCAGATTCTTGCGGGAAGGTATATCTATCTACATTTTCACTTTGTATCGTGCATTTCATGGCGAATCATCATCCCTTTATAGTTTACGATACAATTCTCAGAGTTTTTGTTCCATAGAACTATAGGTTGTTTGATAGACAGTTTGGTTGAAATGAAACTAAATTTGGCGTTTGGATTTGCGCAGAGCTGCTGGACGAAGTGGTGGGTTAACGAAGAGTACCCAGTGAGTGGAGATTCCAGAAAATAACAAGTAAATGAATGTCCTAGGCTCTTGTTATTAAGCTATTTAACCTTATATCATGCTTTTACTTTGTTTTTTTTACATCATGTGATTGGTTGTATCACCATATATAACTTAGTATGCTGATAATCCCATTCTCACACCTATAACCTAGTAAAAAAAAGAAAAGAGAGAGTTTGTGACATAGATTTGGTGTTAAAGTGGTTAGAGGGAGGAGAAGAAAAGCTGAAGAAGAGAGAGAGAGATGTTGACATTTTGGCTAACATTTTCGTCTCTTTTTTCGGAATTTAGTTTGTTTTGGGTGTATAGGTTAGAGAGTTTGGTATTGGCTTCTCTAGAGCTTTGTGTACCTCTGATTCCTTATTTGTTTGTTACTCTATTACACTCTTTGTGTGATTTATTCGTTTGTATTTTGGGTTTGCTGATATATGATATATGATTTTTATAAATGTGATCAAGTCATATCACAACAAGCACTCAACAATTCAAATCACAAACCAAACACAAACTAAGAAACACTTTGGTATTTTGATGAGTCTCTTTAATCATACAAGGCGTCTACAGAGAGTGACACCATCACCAATGGAGACTTGAGAGAGCTCGATGCGAGGATCAGCAGCGAGCTGCTTGTTCAAGTCCAAAAAGGCTTTTCTGTTCACCCTCATGTGCTCTGGCACGTTTTCCTCTTTTTCCACCACAAACCCGAACCACAATGTGTTATCAAACGCTATGATTCCTCCTACCTTCACCAGCTTCATTAGTCTCTCGTGCATGTTTGCATAGTTTGGTTTATCAGCATCAACAAATGCGAAATCAAACTCTGGTTTTGGATTCTCCTGTGCTCCATCATCATTCAGAAACCAATGTCATCAAAATAAGAAAATTTAATTGGTAATATCAAAAGAGAAGGAAGAAAAAAATGATAATGGATTACGTACACTCAACATCTTGTCTAAGGCCTGAAGACAATCAGATTGTATGAAATTGATCTTATGATCAACACCTGCATTTTTTATGAACTCTAGTCCCACCTCGTAAGCTTCTTTATCAATGTCTATTGCAGTAATCTGTATACACAGAGAGTTTATAGATTTTAGCTCTTATCATTTTTGCATATTTTTTATTTGTGGAAATCAAGGAGTGTTGTGTACATACATGTCCATCATGAGGCAATGCAAGGGCAGTTGTGAGTAACGAATAACCGGTGAAAACACCAAGCTCTATCGTCTTTTTGGCATTCATTATCTTTATAAGCATCGATAGGAAATGCCCCTCATCCACCGGTACCTCCATCTCGCTTCTACGCATACAAACACAAATCATTTTTTTCATTATTAGTATAATCCTTGAATTTATTCGATTCGATTAATTTTACGACTATACCACAAACCACTAAGCTACTATAAAATGTTTATTTTTGAAAGAAAGAAAGAAAAGAACAAACAAATTTACTTATGCGAGTGGAAGTACAAGGTACATGCATATTTAGGATTTAAAGAGTATGATCTTATACTTGCAAAATATGGACAATAGAGGTTGCAGCTACACTTACAAATTGCCATACTTGAGGACCGTAGCTTCACGTAATTTCTTGAGTTGTTCATGCTCTCTTGGATACGCCGTCGTTTCAAAGATGTACTGTTTCATGAATCACAAAGATTTAATTCACAACAACAACCGTATATATTATATGTGTTTGGTTCGGATCTAGCAATCAAAGAATATCTTATTTAAACGATAAAGATTGATCTCATCAGACAAAACTAAGTTAAAATTTTGCAGATCAATTAGCAAGAGTTTGGATCCTAACAAATCATTAAGTAGAGAGAAAACTCTAAAAAAGTGATTAAAAGACCTTTTTGAGAGCCTCGCTCTTGAGAATCCCTTTAGGCGGAAGCAGTTTCTTCTCCATAGAGCTCTCTTTGTCTCTCTCTCTCTCTCTCTCTCGAGATACCTTCAACTTCAAAAGCTTTGTAACCCCAATGATCATTTGTCTCTATTACTCTTTTTAAAGAGAATCTTAAAAAAGTAGTGGCCTAGTAATGATATCAACAGCTCGACAGGTGTGTACATTTTTCGTTTTTTTTTATGATTAAAACATTTTGATTGTACTGTCAATATCAAGACATCTTTGATCGCACTGTTATTTACTTTTTATTTTTTTTAAAATCTTTTTTCATACACCACTAATGTTTCCACAATGCGAGATATTACAATCGGTGATTGAAAATTTGGACTATATGACAGTGGCTACTGGCTAGCATGACATGTCACATGTTACATACATATGCCATATGGCATGGTTGGAGCATAACTTGCTACTATCGCTAGGTATTATGAAAGACAAAAAGATGTTTAAGATAGCATTAGAATTTGGTGGGTGATATAGTGTCAGAGAGTATGTGAATTAGATTAAGGGTTTAGATGTTATGTGCAAAGAGGGAGCAACTTACGCAAATAAGAAAGTTGACTAGATAATAACACATCAAGTAATATCATTTTTTCTAATACAGTTAAGTAGTTAACAATATTATGCTTAAACATTGAAGGATGAATCAATATATGAATTTGAAAGATCCAATAACAAAGGCCCAATAAAAGCCCATATACTCAAAGATAGAGCTAGGGTTTACTCGCCGCAACTCAGCCTCCCTCTTGCAGGGACATATAAATAGCGTAGCTATGAGTTTAGTATCATCGTCGATCACTTTAGTCGTTTAGAATTAGCTTCGTCTTCTATTCTCTTTGTTGATTTTTAATCCGTATCGCTGCTTTCGTTTTGAAAAAATTATTTTGAAAACTATGGATGTCTTTTAGAGTTTATGTTGGAAATTGCCTCCGATGATGATCAAATCATAACTTTCGTTCTTCCGAGATTTATCATGCGGAGAAATTATGGAGACCTGAACTGAGCTGAGGCAATTTCATCTTCTTTGTTTTTCTTTTTTTACTTCTACTGATTTGGTTTTTCAGAAATCGAGTTATTTTTTTTATTTGAATGGTATTTTCTTTGTGGGTAAACTCTGATGATGTCAAAACATAAAACTTTCGTTCTCCTGAGATTTCAATGTGCTGAAAAAAATTGGAGACCTGAACTGAAGAGTTATTTCTATTAAAAATCCTTTTATTTTTCTTTGTTTTCGTGATTACCTCGAGTTATGAACAAAAATCTCATAAGAATGAGCTTGATTTTAGAATTTTGGATCCGAGTCTCACAATCGGCAAAGAAACTGTAGGAAATTAGGACAATTTGAAACTCTTGTGAATTGTAACTCTTATAATAAACTGTTGATTAAGAAATTGAAACTTGTAATGATAATTAATCTCTGCCTTGGTCTAAATGTTGGTGAATGACACCGAATGTATGGACATATGGTCACATTATTTGAGAGACTATCTGACTATCTCATATCATTAGAAATAATCTGACTATCTCATATTATCAACAATCATAGGAAAAACAAAATTAACAATTGGATTTCATTCCACATTAGTCTGCCATCACCGCATTGGTTTGATATGAGAGGAGAGGACAGAACTGATATAAGTTTATATTTGATTTTGCGAAACAAGTGTGTGAAAGATGTATCCATCCCTAAATGAAAACTTTTTGTTTCGAATGTGTTATAATGAAAAAAATTTGGTCCTTTACTGACAATACCCTTGATTTCGCCAAAGTTGTTGGAAATCAAAAAGGGGTTGTCGACAAGGTTTCTGTCGAAAAGTGAATAATCAAAATTACCACTCCACATATCGCCAAAGATTGTAATTATCATATGTTCTTTCTCAATTCCAATAATCATAATGAGATTCCAACATAAAAATTTGATGATAAATAAAACAGAGCAGGTCAAAGGTTATTACTTATTATAAATCATTTGTATTGTCAATCTGATTCAGACGTTTTTCAAACTGTTTTAAAACAATAGAGAACCCCAAAACAAAATTTGATATTTGTTACACTATAAATTTCCCTGGCTAGCTACAGTTTACAAGACATAAATCATCTGAAAATTTTCGAATAGGTCAATCGGTATGAATATATCTAAAGTCTTGCAAGTCATTTATCAAACTCAGCGGAGGGAAATGACAAATTAGACCCGCATGGTCATTTGAATAGTATGTGTACAACAATACCAGGCATTTTGTCTCTCTCTTCATTGAACAAACCAAAGGATCTGCGAATCATCACTCTCTACTTCCGATCTCTCCGCTTCCGCTCTGCTCTCTGCCTCTTGTCGTCTTCCCATTCACGGTCATACATTCTATACCAAGGTCAAGGAAATTGCAACTCTGAAGAGACCATTCAATGATGCATCATATAAGGGTTTGATTCATGATGCAAACTCAAGCAGAGAGATTATATAAGTTGGTAACGGGGCTCTTGTTTTTTTAAGGATACGGGTCAGGATCACGACGAACCATCTTGCTGGAAGCTTCTTTTCCAAGAAGTCTGATGCTTGGCTCTTCAAGATAGCCTCCGTGTTGAATCATACTACTGCTCTTCCGCTCTCTGCCTTCGTACGATGATGGTCCCATACCAGTCGATAAAGACGATTGAAGTGGCATAGGAGAGTATTCTCCTGGCTCTGCAGATGGGACCTGTTGCTCCCTCTTAAGCTTCCTTCTCTTGGAGGCTTCAAAATCATCTTTCAAAGGGAGGCTTTTTTCTCTTTCTCTTTCTCTTTCTCTCTCTCTTTCCCTTTCTCTTTCTTCTCCCTGCATAGAGTAGATAAGATGTTTTTTCATATGGTCAAACAGGGAGATCACTACGGAAAACACTCCATCGAGTTTCTCTTTTTAACGATAAAAACTAATCAAATGTGTATCAAACAAAAAATCACTTCAAGAAATCAGAAACGAACTACCATAACATAAAATTTGATAAGATAAAAAACCATGAAGATGCAGCTACTGCTGATAGTCTGCAGTTCTTGATATGTATAGAGGGAGCAGCTATACCTTCACAGTGATTGTTTCTCGGTCATCTCGCTTTCGGTCCCGAATATCGTCATCTCTTCTACGTTTTGCATCATCCACAGAAACTGATAAATTCTCTTCAGAGCGTCGTCTCTCTCTATCATCATGCCTCGGGGAAAGCCTCTGAGAATGCCTTGCACCTCCAGCCCTTCTTTCGAGATCTTCTTTCGCGGCCATAGAATGTGGAACGATGTTAGGAGGTAAAGGTGGAGGTGGGGGTAAACCTTGAGAATGAAAATGATCATCAGGATGAGATTTCTCAAGTGATGCCTCACTATGACGCAGTTTGCTTCTATCATCTTTGTTTCTTTCATAACTCCTAGTTGTTCCTTTATCTAGACCCTTCTCAACTGAGCGCTCTCTACCATGACGTTCCAAGGATTTGTCTCGTGCTTTCTCAACATCATCTCCACGAGGTTTCTCAGAACGATCAACTCTTTCTCTGTGCTCTCTATCCTGTCTTTCATAACCCTTATCCTTTGATCTATCTTGATCCCTATGGGTGCTTTGGTCATCAGTAACTGTTTTGTTTAAATCCAATCGAGCCTCTGCTGATCTATCTCGGTCACTCGATCGAGGCTCACTGTCATGCTCTTTGTGCTCAGCATCTCCTTTACGACGTTTACTTATTCTTTCACTATCCTCAACAGCATTAGTTCGTTTTTGTAACCTATCACTCGATCTCACAGAAGTGACAATTTCATGCCTAGGGGAATGAACAGTCCGAGAAGATTGCTTTTGTGCATCCAAAGCTTCAGCACCATCATCTTTTACTGCATCAGAAATTAAAGTCAGAATACCTGACAACTGACAAGTCCATCCAACTTACATTAGCTTCCACGAATATCTAATAGTTTTGTGGGTGAGAACAAACCTTTGGACGACCCAGTAGCTATGTTACCATTGGCTGCTGTGCTGGAAAGAGCTTTGGTCAAACCTGATTGCCTGGTCTCCAGATAATTAAGATCTTTGTCAGCTGTGGATGTTCTTCCAACAGCTTTACCGGACTTTCCATCATCTTTTCCAAAATCTTGCTTTGTAGATTTGTTCACCGATGCACTTCGTTTAGAGGAAGGTTTCAACTGCCAGCCAAAAATAATTATACATAAGTTAGAGCCCAAGAACTTCCTGAATTGCTAATTAACTGAACTTTTTCAGCCACCAATTTCTAACATAAAAAGGGGGAGTAGACATTGTAGCATATTTCATCATCTTGTGATCAAAATAACTGAACTTAGCGCTCTCACTCACAACCCAGAGCCCACGTGACAGGTTAAACATCTACATGGTAACCCCAAATATAATTTCTAATCATCACTTCCCCTAAATCAGTACTTTAGAAAACGAATTGTCAAAAAAGTAGAATTGGCTCTACCAAATAAATAAGATAGAATGGGCAATAAAAATTTCCTAAATAATTTCTGTGAACACATGCTAGTGACAAATTTGGGTTTCTAAATAAAGTAGGGGTTGTTAACTTAACAAATAAAAGAGAATAAATAAAACGGCCATACCTCGGCTTCAGAATACTTAGAAGGAGCTTTGACAGGATTCTCATCAAGTATTCGGGGTGTTTCATCTGTTTCCTTTTGTTCCATTGACTTCCTAGACATGGTGGGTTGGGCATCCAATGGATTGCCACCCTTTGATTTTAGATGTCCTTGATCAGATTTTGAAGGTATACTTTCCGTTCTTCCATCTAGAGGTTTAGTTTTCAACATCTGGTCCTTGCCCAATCCACCAGACTCAGGCTGCTGGTTATTAGTAGCTCTTTCCCCAGTTGGTTCACCTTGGGAGACACCAACTAACAAGCCATTCTGGGAAGAAGCATGGGAAGAGGCATGTTTTGGAGTATGTACTGGCGGAGCCTTTAGTTCAAGGAAGCCCATGCTAAATTCTTCGTCTGTAACCCAATGTGGCTGCAAATAAACGACATTCAGGAAATTGCATAAAACCCTGAACTTGAAATTGCTATGGTTAGTACTCACTTTTCTTGCAGACAGAGCAGCGGCAACACCAGTTGCTAGAACCTTAAGGTCCTCTCGCTCATCATTTTTAATCTTGGCTACCTAAAAGACCAGACCACCAACGAAAGGAAACATTAATCTTTTCACAAAGAAAACAAAGGAAAAGATAGAAATCACACTAATTAAAAGCAGATTCATAAGACTAGCTAGTAAAGAGGTACTTGCCCGTTTCTCAAGGTTTATCCCAGTTTTCCGAGTAACTGGGAAAACACCAGATATTTTTGTTAACATAATTAGGGCATTACGAATCTCCATATACTCATTAGACTCCAGACACTGGATCAAAAGCCGTGTGATTCTTCCACTCCATTTCCAATGTACCTTTCAGAGAGATCAACAGATGAAACAGACATGGAACACAGAAGGAACAAGACTTTGTTACCAGTTTCTAAAGCAGAACACGTGATAGCTAAATACTGTAGAATTACATACGGAAAAAATATCCACATATGAAATGGAAAATATAAAAAATCACTGACCAGAAGCACTGCAGTTCCGTAAAACAAAAAAGGTATATAACTACTTTTATAGGCGTCATACCAGAATTTCAATAAATCAATATAAAAAGGTTTGAACGTCCAACCCACATTTACACAACCGTTAGTTCAAACAGTATAAGATTTACTCAAGCCTTGCATGATAAAAATATCAGAGTCTTACATGTCATAATTTTTTTCTTAAGAAAAACCTAAAAAGAGTTATAGTAATCTACATGTTGTTTTGAACCCGACTGAACGACAGAGATATGAAAGAACTAGCGAGCTTAAATCCCAATACAGAGAAAATGCACTGTAAGTAACTCATAACTTGACTACAGAAGACATGGTGTAAACAAACTCTTGACTGATTGGCTTCAGCCACTAATCGTATATCATACAAATTATTCTTCATACGCAACCCCTTAGTTTCACTTCACCCTAAACTCCCATTAAAAACTGAAATTTCCTTTTTTGTCCGTATATCAAAGTTTCTAGGTGAATACCTCTCAGCTATTGAAAGATCTTCAAGTTAACCATTAATACTTCCAGAAATGTATTCAAATGCACTTCTACTTGTGGCTTATTATAACTACGAATACTAAATAATAACGAATAAGGATACTTGAGACAGTTATAGAGTTTATATAACTAGAAGTAACATAGAAATACAAGTCAAGGATCAGAATTTCTAACCTTCACAAATTGTCCAAATGTGACACGCTGGCTGTTAGGGTATCTATAATAAACAGCAAACCCTGGCATGTTTCCGCACTCATGTTCATAGACTGATTCTTTGCTCTGAGAAAAGATTAGAAACAACAACAACATTAGAAACTAGGTTAGAAAGAAAACCCTGATTCTATACTTCCATCGTCATAGAAATATAATTTTTTAATAGTGACCTTCCAGTGGTATGCAATCTTTAAGGTCTCAAACAAAAACCTCCCAAGTCTTCCAACTTCATATTCAGTGCAGCAGCAGATCATTGGTTGCAGCGTTTTACAAATCAGTACATCAATGTGGTTGACAGTGTTGAAAAAGGGTGTTCCAAGAGAGTGAAGCATATGTACAAACATCGCGCAGTACACAGAATCTGCCATGCTAAATGTGCAACGAGGGAATATACAACGTTGCAGGAACTCCATATTAATCTTCAAAGTATCAGGACAGGAGCTCAACCATGTATCTTTTTCACGTGAAAGCCTTCTACGGACAGAAGCCACATGTTCTTCATGCTTTTTCAGTTCACCGGTTAGACGATCAAGAGACTCTTGAATCCTTTCCTTCTCTTTTTTCCTCTTGGTAATTGCTGAACTAGAATTATCAGCAACCTCTTCAAGTGTCTTAAGAGCAGCATGCTGTTTAGATATCTCAGACTCATAACGATTTCTGGGAACATGGAGATCATAAAGTGTAAGCCCCCAAAAAGTAGCGTAGAGGTCTGGCGATAGACTATTCCAAGCTTTTGAGGGCAGCATTGTCCTTACTGTATCAAGAACATCAGACCACCTGCAAACACAATGATGAAGTAATTAAATGCACTTAAATAACTGATTATTTAACAGCGAGAGAAACTCCAATAGATCAGCATCTACTTGTAATGCAATTAGATAACTAATTCTTATCACTTCAAATCTTTAGAAAGAGACTATTTGAAACTACAAATAGATATCATAAAAAAAGAGTGCAGAGTGTTGTGAATCAACCAAGTATATTATACAGGTTGAGTTGAAATCTTACTTTACAGCTTTTTCAGATGCACCGACATCGAGAATCATGGAACTCTCAGACTCTGATATTTCAGAATCCGCATCCATAGATTCCCCACTATCCAAAGGCCATGAAACATCACCATTCCGTCGACACTTGAAGAGCCTCATCACAGGGCGAAATACCAAAAAAGCGACCTGGCATGGGATTTATAACATAAGTTTTGGTTTCAAATTGCAGAGAAGTAAACACAAAAAGGCGGCAATAGTAGCTAACGATCTAGACTAGAAATACATAAGTTAAAGTCATGAAATCCATATTGTTGAAGAGTGAGGCAAACACAAGGGTAGAGAACAAGGAATGGAGGAAAGAAAGATCACGAGACCTCTGGTTCGAGATGGTATGTGTGAACAAGCTCATCAAGCGAAGGTACCAGCCGAGCATAAGCAGTAGCCGGACTGACAGCACTAGAAAGGAAGTCTACGTATTGGAGAAGAATTCCATGACATCTGTCGAACTGTTCAGTGACCATCTTAATATATGGTGCATCCGCATTCACCACAACTCTGCATATCAGGAAGTTTACATTATAATATACTAAATCCCGAACATCATGGTTTGTTGACTAAAAAAATAAGACTACTGCACAATACTCAATTTAGAGATAGGAACATTGTCCGTAGTCACACCAAAATATATAAAACAATGTATTTATAGATGTTTTAGACACCAATTTCCTTTTCCGTGTCAATTTATGTTTCCAGGTATAGTGATGTAGAAACGTATGCATCCTGCTCCAGTAAAGACGTGTATGCTTCATGCAAACAATTAATGCACACTTCTAAATGTCAAAACAATTTTGAGTGTCCAGATTTGTTAACTTACAGAGAACGATGCTGGGCGATAAGTAACAAAAGGGGGATAGCTAACTTTGGTTCATCATTTGGAAGTAACGAATCTCGCAGACGGTTTGATGATTTGATAAGTGCCTGAAAAAAACAGGAAGATGAATCAGAAATGTTTAAGAACTAAGATACTTCAATGATCTCCGAGGTAAATAAACAAACTTATCAACACTGATGCCACTATCGCAAGCACATTTGTTTTTATCTACACAGAGCCTAGCATCTAAAGAAGTATAGAAGAGAAGTTAAATGAAAAGAATTTCTTACAAGACCAGACATTTTAAATGAATGACTTCAAATCAAAACAAATTTTCCACAACCCTTCACATATTGTAAGAACATATATGCATGCAATGATGCAAATGCATAAATAAAACGGAGATGTAGGGGATCAAGCTTGAAAATAGCCAAATCAGGTATTTTCGTTCAGATTACTGAAAATAAAGAACCCAAATCTCAAGCTCACAACATCTTCAATTTTCTCTTACAACAGTAAGCAAATAAAAACACTTATGGTAAGGACCAATGCTTGGCTCTTTCAAGATTCAATAGGTTATTTATTTTTAAATTGGTTTATTCTGCCGCAGCGAACGCTAGTCACAATAAGGGTTTGAATTTTTGAGGATCTAAACAGACAAACCTTGTTGTTTCGCGTCATGCCAAAGGATGTTGCGTGATAACGTAAAGTCTCACTTCCTGCCATGGCATCCAACTGATCTTCGGTAAGGTTCTCAGTGTATTGTACATTTGCCATCTGCTGGACCAGTTCCTACAGTCATTATGAAATTACAGTCAGCCACCATTAGTCTGAATAAGTTGAATCATAAGAATTTGGGAATACAAACCAAAAGTGTACCTGGAGAAGAACAAGCTCGATCCCTTGGCCCCTCTTTAACTGGTTCACGAGATACTGGAAAAGACCCCTTAACTCCATTGATGGATACTTCTTACACCTGGAAAACATGATATAGTTTACGAAGACATTCCACAAAGATGGCAGTACAGCTTTTACTACTTTCTGAGAAAAACTATATGTGCATCTTGCAGTAAAACTGTTGGCAGAATGGCAATAACTAATGGCAATCAAGGAAAAAGATAGAGAAACGGTACCAAATGGAAGAAGATGTCACCAAGTAACCACAATGGTTTTAAACATCAGAAATGCAATCATTCCTACAACAGTTTTACACTAAAATAATACTGCACTTTTCTTTTCTACCCTCGGCATAACAGAAATATGCAGGCACATAAAGTGAAACACCCATAGCAATCAACTATCTTTCTAAATGAGTACTGAAACTATTTATAACATGTATTAATGTTTCCAAAGAAGAACACATACAGATGACCCCAAAATGATGCCAAAGATTGAAGCCAGTCTGATAAATTAATCCCGTCGTCTTTAAGTTTATCTCGTCCGCTTTGTGCCAGTCTCTCAATCACGACATATTCCAGGATATCATACTCAAGCTGTGCATCAGGAATAGTTTAGGAAGCATCAGAGCGTGCATAACAGAGGGCGAAACATCTCAAAAACAACAATGAATTGAAAAGGAAAGCTGACTTCAGGTAACTTAGCAAACAAAAGATTGTTGCAAGAACGAAGCCAGGAAAAAAAGAAACACATGACAGACCGCCTCAATGTACTAGAACGATAAATAGAAACATTTATTGAAAAAAAAAATCTTAGAATATTCGGATCCATCTGATTGCATCCTAATTTTCAATGACTATCTCACTTCATTATTGCCTACTTCAGAAGCTCATGTCTGAGTATAACCAAACCAAAAAATCTCCATATCCCACATTTTAAACCTACCCCAGAGTGAATGCTAGACTGAACGTGTAAGATATATCAGTAGAAAACATACATAGCCAAATCATTATCACTCAAAAGAAACTAGCTTTACTTTGCACTCTGAAAACAAGGCACTGGCAAAAAGTCCATCCGTCTATCTCATTAAAATTACTTTTTTTAGAACAACTAAATAGAAAACCTGAGAGAGTAAGGGCATAAGGTGAATAAGAGCATATCATACAAAAGGCGTAACATACCTGTGTCAAGTACTTGAAGGCATCCACAACAGGAGCAATCATATCTCTGTATGCTTCAATCTGTTGTAACAAGAACCTGACAGTTAGCTCCATCTTAACAATTCGATTACAGAAATAAAAGCAACGCAACAGTTTGTAGTAGATCGACACCTGATTTACAATTGTCCGAAGCACCGTCATGGGATTGGCATGAGCTAGTTTCGCCACCATCCTTCCTAACTGCTTCAAATTTTCTTTTGCAAGCCGTTTCAGAATTCTTCTAGTATCCAACTGACATACGAGAATAGTCTCCTGAGGATCTGAAGGATGTATATTTCCATTTGTATTATAAGAGAATAACTGGTCAAAGAAGTCATACTGGTATACCTTTGCCACTTGCCTTGCTGCCAACAACAAAGGATTCCGCTCATCGTCCTTTTCCCACTCACCATATAAGCGATAACGAGCCTAATATAAAATTAATCAGCAAGATTGACAATCACGTTCTACATCAAAATATTTGGAACGAACAAACAGTAGCAAGTCAACCTCATATGGAAGGAGACTCATCACTTCCCAAATCTCATGTCCAACTGCTGGATTTGCAGGTACTAACTGTAATGAAGGCAGAAGGCATGTTCCTAGAGCTTCTTCCACTCTCAACCTAACTTCCTTCAGGTGCACACGAGAAACTTCATATGCACTACCTTCTTGATTTGACCCATCGCGAACAAGATCTAAGGCCGACAAATAGTAAGCCCTTAATACTCTACAAATCTGCCACCGTGATAAAAATATATCAGCTTCATTCTTAAATTTTTTGTATAGAACATTTAATATTTTAAAGGTCAGCGCACCTTCTGCAACAATTGTGTATTGCGGTACAGGTAGGGTCCAACAGTAACAAGCATTTGAAACACTTCTTTCGGAAGATCTAGATAAGTCCTATTAGCAGTGTGTGTGATCTTATCTGTGCCCGCAGAAGAAGAATTTTGAACACGTGTCTGACGAGCAATGCGATAAGAATGAGTAATTGACTTCTCTATAAGCCTGAAAACATAGACAAAAAAATCATTGTTGTTATCATAGACTAGTGGCCACTGGCCAGATCTACAGTATCTCTTGGATACATAGAGCTGAAGATGCAAAGAAATGAAGCCGCTATAAATCTGAGTGCAGAATAGTCTGAGCTAAAGGATTACTCACTAACCTAAACAAGCCACTACAAATCTGATCGTGTGCCACTGGATTAAGAGGTGCAAGACGCTCGAACAAGATATTGGCATGATACCTGAAAAGAAGTAAGGGTTAACATAGAAATTATAAAAAATAAGAGCTTTCACCTCAGTTGAGCAGAAAGAGGAAGAGTAAGTAGTACGCTTTTAATATAGATTAAATATACAAAATAGCTTTGTATATTATAATGTAAACAAATTTTCTATGATAGTATGGATCTGAGACGTGAACTCGGCAGAAGACACCAGTAACAGTCATCCAACATGTCCTCTAAGTTCAATTTCAAGTAATAAAAAGGCAATGCATTTATCACAAAAATAACAATAACATACAGAGTACTCCATGAAGAAATCTCATCCTCATGAAGAATCTAACTTAAAGTTCCACATGCACTGGAGAAACGTGTTAACCAAATAGATTGGTTTGATAACAGTGGATTTGTTAAGTAAAAAGAAATGATTCGGTATACATACCAATCGTCCACAGAGAGGAAACCATTAAGAAGGCCCAGAGTCTGATTATTTTCAAGCTCTGGTAATCGCTCAGTAACAGCCTCACTTTCCATGTCTAAAGCAGCAAAGAGATCTACTGTGACATCTCCTTGCTTCTCATCCTCCATAAGATCCTTCCCAGTAGCAGCGAGATTAATTTTTCCAATTTTATTGGCCTGTAGAAAAGGAGGGGCTTGTAAAAATCATAACTCATAAGTAAACATATGAAGTAAGGACTCAAAAACAAAAAAAAAAAACAAAAATAATTGCCTGGCTTCCACGAAAATGGAGAAGTGCTTAGTATCTAAGTATTTATTAAAATTTACGAAGGTAAGAAGAGCAGAGAAAACATGTTTGTTCCTTTGTCTCAAGGGGAAAAAAGGTTTTAACACATAAGAAACATATAGACAACTTACGCTAGGCCAGAACAAAACTATCTTAAAACATCTATACACGTGCACCTACAAGCATCTTAAGGACGAGGTCATATTTTGAACTGTACCTCTTCAAATCGCTTTGCAGAAGAAACATTATAATCTTCAAAAACTTCGTCGTCCTTAGGTAGCAGATGTGCATATCTGTTCACAACAGTCAGGCAAAACAGCATAAGAATATAAGGTCCATATATTCAGTATAATTTCACTTGTTAGAGGCACAAAGAAAAGTACCAATCTAGTAATCACCAAAATCAGTACATTGTTGACATAAGATAATGATTTGAGTGCGTTGCTCACAAGAAAAAGAAATTAAGTCTACTAGGTAGTCCTCCCTAAGAGCAATCTCTAAGTAAAAAGTAACTTACAACAGCCAAAAGGAATTTTCACAATTAAACTTCAATAATTTCCTTTCAGACTACACTAAGAAACGAACTTAAAATTGATACCCAACAACTAGAAATAAGAGACAAGTGCAGAAGAGAAGACAATCTTTCATTTATATTCCAACTGATATAGCCTTATTCTCACACAATGAAGAAAACAAAAATAACTCGTTATGAAGAAGACATGTACAAGTATCCAATTAGAAAGAAGACTTCAGTCTGCGAAAAAAGGATAAAAACCAGTGTGCAAATAGCCTTATTCTCACATAATCAAAAGAAAAGAAGTTGTCATGAGGAAGACTATGTACAAGTATCCGAGTCTTCAGTCTACATAAAACCAGTATATTTCCTTAAGGCCACACATAATGCTTGATTTTGAATATTCCGGAGAGGATCCAAATACCTTGAAAGCAAGAAAGGAAAGGGCGAAAAAAAACAGTTGAAGGAAAAAGTACTCACATGCTTTCAAGATTGATAAACTCTTCCTTTACTAGCAAGGCTGTAAGCTTATAGAGCCCAACTGGAACAGGGCTATTCACCTCTAATCTCTGATAGTATTGGAATTTAAATCCAAGAATTTGTGAAGCATGAGACTGCATATGAAAAAGAATTTTTTAGCAAAAAATAGTCTCTCCAGCTAAGCATTAGAATATGAAAATACGAGGAAGACATTCCAAACCTTAGGAAAGATAGGAATTAGATTGAGAAATGTGTCGTAATCTTGTTCGAGTTCAAAGCAATCCAAAACCTATTCATCAATAACAAAGGGTACATTACTAATAGTGAAGGACAGATTGATGCGTGATGCGACAAAATATGACAGAATCAACAGTGAAAACTTACTATGTCGAAAACACGGTTTGGATCCAGGTCAAAATGCCCAATTAATGACTGCAAGAAATTATAAAGTTCAGAAAAGGTAAATGGAATACATATGTGAAACATAATGTATTGGCCGAATCAAAACCTTGATAATTCCCATCGTTGCTGCTGATGCATTGTGCGAAGAACTTGCAGATCCTCGGCACAAAAGAGTGACCTGCATTCCACAAAAAGGAACAACTGCAATAAGTTGGTGTATGTACATGATTTAATCTAACTCCACAAATCAATAGAAACTCTACTGAGATAATATGTTCATTACTCTGCACAGCTATAATGTAAGTAAACTAGTAGAAGATATGCCTTTCAACTGGAACCGTGTTGAATAGATCATCCCTTCCAAAAATTAAAGGGGTATTCCTTAAGTGTGTTTCAGAGAAACAGAAGTAAAGAGTATCTAAGAAAAGAGCATAGAAACGAAGTGGACATGAAAAATGACAATAGATAAAAGCTAGAGATCTTCTATAACGAACCAATTTGGCATATCCCTCGCTTTCTTCACGGAGTAAGTTGAACTTTGTCTGCTGGTACAGAAGGCGAGTGTTTAATCGCACCTGAGTAGAACCAACCAGAATTGTTATTTCCAAACAATGAGAAGCAGTTACACTGGTAAAGTAGAAATTCTTATATGCATTAATCTTCCGCAATAGCAATTCACTCAGAGTAACTATTACATAAATCAGACCACAGTGCAGCTGCATTGATGACTAAACAAGATAATATCATCATATAATTACCGCTATAACCTATAGTAAACTGTATGTCACATTAATACAGCAGTTACAGATGTGTGAAGTCCTCACCTCTTTCCCCTTCAAATCTTGGGCCTTTATTTTAACCATATCAGCTTCCCAGAGAAACTCCTCCTAGAAGAAAATAAAAAAACTCAATAATCAGCGCCTTCAGAAAAGTTACCTTCTTACTGATCAAGAAAATAGAGAGGTTAGGTGGGGTACAAACTACTCAAATTGGGAATAATAATAAACATTATAGGACTTGCACCCTCCTATCCTTTACACCTACAGCAAGAAGAAGAGGGCTAGTCCGTGAGACCAGCTGGTCCACTGGATTTGTGAGGACCTTTCTTCAGTCTAAGGGATTAGTGTGACTTCCGAAATAGGCTTCAGCCTTGAAGTTAACTTCTATAATTACCTTAGCAACTACAATAAATAGTATAGCAGTCTCTATCTATCACTCCACACTTGTTCATGCTATATATATGAGGGGTACCAGTGAGGGAGTTATCGAGAACTGAGAGAAAGTTGTAAGGGGGAATAAGAGGGGACTCTATTAATAAACCTCTCAAATCTGTATTTCTTGTCTAAGTACTATCAATATAAAGATTATCTTCGTATTACTCTGTTTCTTGGGCATTTTCCTGATTATTCATTGGCTGAAAGTAACATAATGTTTACCTCGCAACGCTCTTGGAAAAGCCTTAGAGGGACTGTCTGTGATTCCACAAGCCATTTCGCCTACAAAGAAAAAAACAAAATGATCGGTAACTGTGAGCAGAGAAACCTTGAGGAGATGGTAAATGAGAACAGAAAGTATATTTTAAGGAAGATAGTAAAGTATGCAATCATCAATTTCAATAAAATAAAACATATGTTAACAACTCAGACACTAATCACGTAAGCAGCTCAGACAACATTGGATCAAGCACACAAGTGAAGTTCAATAACAAACTGCACTAATAGATCATGTAAGGCATTAAGGTCACAGTTTCAGCTCCTGACGAAGTAACCTTTTACAATCAGAAAACTTCTTGCAATCCGCCCAGAATGAGCCACCGGTTGGTTTAACCTTAGGAAACTACTGATAGCTAGACACCACATGCTCTAATTTATTCAGCATAGAATACTATTGCATAATTGTTGTGATCTCTAATCTTTATATGAACAAATAACTAGAATTATCGTTCCTAATCAAGACTAACAAGTCGAAACAACGATCAATTTTCAAAAACTAAAACAAATTCAAGTACTGACCAATTTGGTTAGGCGAGAACGTTGATCTCCGGACATGGTAAGCTGCAAAACGAAGCAAAGACAACACAAAAACAATCAATCCAACGCTCAGTATCAAAAACCTTGCACAAACATCTCTAAGCTAAGAATGTCAAAACTGTTATCAGAAAGACTTACGTCTTGAGCTATCTGAGTCACAACATCCGAAAAACAAGAAGCTAATTCATCCTTGGATGGTTTATCCAAAAACTCCACACCGTCCAACACTGCCTTACAGCTCTGAATTGGCAATTCGCCACGAACCTAATAATCCATCACGAGGGCACCCTTGAGGAACTCGAACAACATATACGCGTGATTGGATAGTAGGAAGAGAAGTGTTGATTGTGTGTATACCAAAATCCAAGAGAGCTCGTAGAGGAAACGAAGCATCGGTACAGAGCTGGGCAGCTTGGTTCCATAGTTGCCATTCTTACCTTCACGAACAAACTCCTCCGTCACGTACTTACACTCCAGTAGCGGAAGAGACATCTTTAACCCTTTCGTGTGTATGTATATCTTTCACTCTCCCCCTTTTCGAAACCCTAGAAGATGAAGAAAATAGGGTTTAAACTAAGGAAAATTCGATTGGCGAGCAGAAAATAAGCATTCCGATAACGGAAAGATAAGATGAAAAGGGAGAGGAACGAACAATTTTGATCAGAGAAGAAAAGAGAAATTAGGGTTTTGGATCATTTGATTTGATGGTCGAAGTAAATTGAAGACGATGACGGTGTGATGATATATGTTTTGTTTTTGCAGGGAGGGGACTATTCTTTTCCTTTTTTTTACTTACCGATTTTGTTTCCTGTCGTCTTTTGTTTCAGCTAAAAATTGAAGAAATTTCAATACAAACCGGGTCCGGTTTAGTCGTAGGATTTTGTTTGAGTGGTCGTGAAACTATGAATTGGTTGTTATTGAACCAGCCCATGGGCTCAGATACTCTTTTGAGTCCACCACGATATTTTGATGAATATTAAAATCTTGTTATAAATTGGATAATTATTATTATGATTATCCATATTTCTACTTAACCCTTAAGTCTCTTTGCCCCCAAGTAACTTGGCCTCCAAGCCACATCTTCTCCAAGTAAACGTCTCTATAAATATGTGTTGCTTTGTTGTAATAATGGGTGAGAAAGAGAATCGTTTCTATTCACGTCTCCTCTCTCTCTTACATGTTTTCTCTTCTTTTCATATGCAATTATTTGCTATATATAGTTATACAAATATATACACATATATATATATATATATACGTTATGATTTATAACACGTTATCAGCACGATGTCTTTACCGCTTGAGCGATTACGAGGTAAGTAAAATTTATAGTTTTTAAATTTATTTATGTTTATAGAACATAATTATTTTAGACATCGAAAGACTATGCTTTTTTCCGGTTTGATCGTTATAAATGGTAGGCTCTGCCTTCTTTACGATCAAATAAAAAGCTATGTCTTTTCCGGATAGATCGTAATATATGGTAGGCTATGCCTCCTTTACGATCAAATAAATGGCTATGCTTTTTCCGGATCGATCGTCATATATGGTAGGTTTTACCTTCCTAACGATCAAATAAAATTTATATTTTTTCCGGATTGATCGATATATGGTAGGCTCTGCCTCCTTCTCTACGATCAAACGAAAGCTATGCCTATTGAATTCTTAATGGAAGGCGATGCCTCATGAATTCTTATATGAAAAGGCTATAGTCCATAAATTATTATTTTGTACATTTATGTGTTTAATTATTTTTATTTATTTTATTCGTAAAGAATAAATATATATGTTATATGAGATTTAAAGACTTTGAAATATGTCTTTAAAATCAAAAATATATTTCTTTTATGAGAATATATGAAGCACGGGTCAATATATTTTTAGACAGTGCAAATTAATTGGAAGGTCTAAATGAGCTAGTCTCTCGACTTCCAAATGCATCAGATTCATAATAATCGATGCTTCGTGTTCTCCAAAGTCTCAAAGAAACTCGTGTAGTTTCAAAGACATTTATTTTTATAATTATTATATTGAGACTATAAATAAATGTGGTATTGAATGTCCAACCACAAATGGAAACACGCATATGTATGATTATATCATACAAAATAAAGATGGCAAAATATTTATGATAGCAAACAGAGATTTGCTAATTGCTATAATATAGCATAACCGGTCAAGCCATCCCGGTAGAAAAATGCATTTGATGATAATGATCCAGATCCAGGATCCGTATCAGTGCCAGCAAGGGCCTGATTGAAAAAACAAAAGTGCAATATATTGAATTGCTCTTCCTTAATAAAAGAGATGTCTTTGGACCTCTTGTCACTACATCTAAATATGTAAAACCTGTTATGTGCAAGTGGGTCTTCGTGCGTAAAAGTTGAAATCACACGATATAAAGCCCGACTTGTTGCACAAGGTTTTTCTCAAAGACCTGGAGTTGATTATGAAGAAACATATTCTCCGGTCATGGATGCAATTACATTCAAGTACTTAATGAGTCTAGCGGCCTCTAATAATTTAGAAATGTACCTTATGGATGTAGTGACAGCATATTTATACGGATCATTGAAAAATGATATTTATATGAAAATCCCAAGAGGATTAAAAGTTCCAGAAACATTAGACTTTGAGTCTAATGAAATATGTACGGTCAAATTACAGCGATCACTTTACGGATTAAAATAATCCAGACGCATATAATCGTTTAAGCGATTATTTATTAAAGAAAGGGTATGTTAATAATAAAATATGCCCTTGCGTTTTTATTAAGAAATCTACATCGAGATTTGTGATCTTTGCTGTATATGTTGATGACCTAAATTGGAACTTAAAAAGAGTGATTAAATATCACTAAAATTTTATGTAAAGAAAGGGAAGCTTATTTAAGCAATGCATGCTTCCGTCCACATTTCAGAGGTAACATTTAATTTATGTTGAATTTATTTAAATTCATTTAAATTTATTTAAATTTTTATATTATATAAGGAGTTGGTTATATACCTTCTCCTTAAGTTTGTAGTAGGCTAAGCCTCCAGAATTATATGGTCTTTGGCCAAATCACCATTTTTCTTTGATAAGCTCATTATATAATAGTCGATTTCCGTAATATTTCTCCCAATTAAACCCCGTGTATAACCGGTCTAAAAAAAGAGATTCGGTCCAAGATGAATAGGATTGAAAAGCCATCATCTTGAGAAGGGGTATTACAAGTCCCACATTTTTATATGGATCTAAGATTAAATACATGATCCAGATTGGATATGTTATTGATCCTAAAGTGGGATTCAATTCGAGATGAATGAACTCGAAGAGTTATCATCTCGAGGGGGAGAATTAGAGGAATCCCACATCGTCAGTAAGTCGATAAGGAATCCCACATCGTCAGTAAGTCGATAAATTTGGTAAAGCCATATCCTAAAATTGATCACTTTGTGATAAAGTAGAACATCTAAAAATTGATGTTCACTCTCAAAATGAGTTTTAAGCGAATCATTCATAACGCAAATCCAAGAGATTGCAAAACGATTCATGGTGATTTAATCTCCATGTTTTTACATGGAACATGCAGTTTTGCATGTAGTAATGATTATATATAAGGCCAACGATTTATAAGAAATATTTCTCCCATGTTATATATACATGACTGGAGATCAAATATTTCTCATTTTTAAATTTTATGGGTGTGAGATATATGTTATAAATGCTTCTCTGCACCACATAAAAATATCATCCAAAAAGGATGAAATATATAGATGCAGGAGATGAATCTCTGCTCTACAAATATTGAGCCATCTTATGAGAGATGTGCCTATAGCAAGATTTGCAAATCATCATGTTGATGATAAAGTTCCCCATCATTATGGGAGAATCATTGAATAGTTTGGATCTTTGAACAAATAAATATAATAAAAATGAACTTTAGAGTTCAAAAGTTCAAAAGGGTCACTATTCACAATAAAATGCAAATCAAATGCAAAAAGCTGATGGATGAGATTTCATGAAATTATTGATCCTCGTAAAAATGCATATGAACTTAAAGTTCATAGAAAATCTCTCGTCCCAGCTAAAAATGCTCTACAAAAATATGTCTCTGGCGGATGACATATTATTGTCTATAACACGTAAAAAAAAAACGTGATAGACAACTTTGGTTCCAAATATAAAGAAAATCCTCGAAAATAAAAAAGAGCATATTATTACTAAAAAGAGGATTAAACTCTTAAAAGAGGAGCATATAAACTTCTAAAGAGGAGTATAAAGACTCCTCAAGAGGAGCAAAGAGACTCCTAAAGAGGAGTAAAAAGAGACCGATTGGCATGGTTAAAGACGAAATCAGGTCCCTGAATAAAATCATTTATAATGATTAAGAGATCTTGATTAACCATGTCATTACGGCGAATATGGAACCAAAGACAACATAATGTCGACAAGAAAAATGATCTAGTGCACAAATGTGATTAATGAGGATCATGAATTTCTGCTCTGTGAGCGTAAAGAGATATATATTGGCCAATAAACAAAGAGGCAGCCAAGTCTATATTAATCTCGTATAAGAAACGAGTAATTCCTGGACACATGGTCCAAGCATCAAAAGAGTATTATGATACTTAAGACAAGACGGTGTGTCGCGCCGGATTTTGTCAAAATCACTCGATATTGAGTTGATGAATAAATGACTTGAATTGCGCCTCATGGGATGTCTGAAGGACTAATCCTAAAATATATGATATCATAGTTATATTCCCGGGAACTTATAAGCATGATGTTTTTGGAATAAAAGATCTTGGAAAAACAAAAGTGTCTCCAGATATTCCAACAAAACATCCAAAGAAAGAGATGTTATATTAGTCACTTCTAAGAGAAGTCGACTCTATATAGTTTGATCATGAAACACTATATATAAATGCTGACGAGTATTTATATATTTTGTGAATTGTACCTAGCATATATAAATGCTGACGAGCATTTATATATCTAGTGAATATATTGTACCTAGCATTTGCTACTGATCTACTTGCAGGATTAATTGATCTCTTCCGACTAGACCTTGAATGAGTTCAAATGTGTCTTCCATATCTGCAAGGTACGATTGATTTGGGTTTATTTTATTTTAGAAACCCCGAGTTTGGTTTAGTTGGTTTTGCAGATGGAGAATCTATATCAGATCTGTCTAAATATATATCGCAAAACAACAACTACGTGGCGTTTCCAACAACAAATTTTTGTCGCCGCTTGCTCAAACCATGCCAAAATTATTGCGCTCCATGAAGCTTGTCGAGAATCTGTATGGCTCAGATTGATGCCCTCAACATATACAAGTAGCAAGAAATATATGCACCAGTGAAGAGCCAACAACAAGACATTGTTACATTTGTTTCTCAACTCAAAGGAGGCTATGTCAAGATCGAGATGACAAGACATATTTCTCCAAAATTCTTCTCTTGCCTCCAAGAATCTGAGAAGAAGCAAGAAGTTGACGTCCAGTACATCCGGCCAAGTAACAGTGTAGCAGTTTTTGTTCAAAGACGCTGCCTGCTACGCCATTCAAAATTCATCTTTTGAAGATGATGCTTCTAGGGGAAGACATATGATGATGAGCGTGGCTGCACTCTTTTTCCCTTATCATGGTTTTTATCCCACTGGGTTTTTCCATGACAAGGTTTTTAACGAGGCAGCAAATAACACGCAAAAGATAGACATCAAAGTGAAGGTCTATCTCTCTTCAAAAATCTTTGTCATACATTGACGAGATCAGAAGAAGCAAAGAGAATAATCGAGATGCATCATCTACAAAAGCTATACAGAGAACAAGACTCGTCTGTTCCAGGGGGAGATTGCGTCACTGTACTCTTTTTTCCTTATCATGGTTTTTATCCCACTGGGTTTTTCCATGACAAGGTTTTTAACGAGACAGTACGTAATACTCGATAATTATGGATAATCAAGGGAGAGTGTTATAAATTGGATAATTATTATTATGATTATCCATATTTCTACTTAACCCTTAAGTCTCTTTGCCCCCAAGTAACTTGGCCTCCAAGCCACATCTTCTCCAAGTAAACGTCTCTATAAATATGTGTAGCTTTGTTGTAATAATGGGTGAGAAAGAGAATCGTTTCTATTCACGTCTCTTCTCTCTCTTACATGTTTTCTCTTTTTTTCATATGCAATTATTTGCTATATATAGTTATACAAATATATACATATATATATATATATATATATATATATATATACGTTATGATTTATAACAAATCTAAAATTAAGTGGATTATATTATCATGTACATTTATTTTTTCCCCAATATTATACTGTACATATAAATTAGGAAATGTTAAATTACATCTTTGGTCCTTCTATAAGATATAAACAAATAGAGCAACGAGTACAAATTCTGTATACAATATAACTCAATTCGTTTATCGATCGACTAGTAGTTGACACAAAAGACAAACAAAAATAGACAGTAATACTCAAATGCTTGGATATATCCGACTTTGGCGATATTATATTAAAATTGACCTCTTTCTCACTTGGAAAGCATCCAATTTAATGATTTATCGTTCTCAGATTTTTAGCAAAATCTGTGTTCTTACATTACGTAAATAAATTTTATCTCTATTTTTTTTTGCTAGATTTTCTGCGAATTCTCTAACAAATTTTACCTCCCTTGTCCTGATTTGAATGTGCTTTCAAGCTCGGAAGGTCGCGACGGTATGCTCATCAGAGTATTATCTCCAAAATAAGACGAATCAAGAATAAGTTGAGGAAGAGGAGTGTCGTAATCGATTCCATAGATATCTTCGGAGTCACTGCTTCGCTCTGTGGGTTTCCATTGTACAACAAGTGAGACCAACACGTTGACCACGTGATTCATGTCGGGTCTATCTCGCGGTTCCCTGGAGCTACATTGATTGGCAAGCTCAGCTACTATGTTGATGCTTCCAAGTGTCTCTTCGTTGACCTCAATTGTTTGATCGACAGCCTTTGGAAACGAGTCTTTGTTGATAAACATTCTCCTAAACCATGTGGCAAGATGTACTTCTTCCTCAGATCGCGTGGCATCAAGAGCTTTTCGACCCGTTAGTAGCTCCATGAGGATGACTCCAAAGCTGTAAACATCAACCTTTGTTGTAACTCTTCCGGTCACTGCATGCAATGTAAGAGATTATCAATATTTCACTTTAGTGAGTTTAGTACAAGTACCAACATACATAATAAGCATAAAACCATACCTGCGTACTCTGGTGCAAGATAACCAAATGTTCCAGCAATTTTGGTCTCAATTGATTGTGTTCCTTCTGGCGCAAGCCGGACTAAACCAAAATCAGCAACTTTAGCATGCATATCATCTCCAAGAAGAATATTAGAAGGTTTAAGATCTCTGTGTATGAAACTTTGATGGGCTAAAGTATGCAAATACTCTACTCCTCTAGCCACATCCAATGCAATAATCAACCGTCTAGTCCACTCGAGTGGCTTCAAACCTTCTTCCTGCCAATGAAAAATATGCCTACTTAATGTCCCTTGTGGCATGTACTGATAAACCAGAAGCCTCTCATTGCCTTCTAAGCAATAACCATGAAGAACCACTAGGTTACGGTGTCGAACTCTAGTAAGAACAGCAATCTCTGATTTAAATTCATCTAAACCCTTTCCACTTATAATCGAAGACTCCATTCTCTTAACCGCAATCTTTGTTCCATCATGCAACTCTCCCTTGTAAACTATTCCAAATCCTCCTCTGCCAAGTATATTCTTCTCGTCGAAATTATCTGTAGCATCTCTCAAAACTTGTATTGAGATCACAATATTCCCAGCTTCTCCTAGATGAGCGTCATTACCACTGAATCCACTTTCACTTCCACCAGTACACAGATTGTCAATTGTAATCTTGAGTGCATCTTGGTCACTAGATTGTTGTTGAGGATGCATCTTATGATATTGCTTCTTTTTCTTGATCAAAAAGAAAATAGCAAATCCGATGAGAAGCAAAGCTAACAAAATACCAATAACAGAGCCCACAATTTTTCCAGCATTACTAGATGCTTTCTTTCCAGCATTAGGACTGTCCTTTCCTATGTCACAATTATTCCCAGTCGTGTTTACATCAACAATACTTGTGTTAAAACCCGGTATTGTTTCAACACACAAATTATTCGAAACATCTAATGTTTTCAAGTTACTCAACTTAGTGAGCTCTTGTGGAATAGTACCACTAAGATTATTCTGAGAGAGATTAATAACCTGAAGAGACGCAAGATCAGCAAACAGTGGAGAGATAGTGCCGTTGAGCCCCAAGTTTTTGAAGTTAATAACAGTGATATCAGTTCCAGTACAAGTGATCCCTACCCATCTATTACAAGGATCATTTCCTTTCCATTTCTCCGCAAAATTCACCGGGTAACCAAAGGCTTCAACGATTGAAAGCAACGTGTTGACACGGGGATCACAAGGAGTACCTGGGGTATCTAAGCAGAAACTATTGAGCCCAGTCAGATCAGGCTTGATGTTGGGAGCCTTGAAGAGTGGGGTTGGTCCTTGAAGCAAGTTATTGCCTAAAGCCACATCAGAAAGAGATTGAAGCTCAAACAAAGAGGGGGGAACAAGGCCCGTAAGCTGATTCTCCCTAACATTAAAACTTTTCAGCGAGACTAGACGAGAACAGTTTGGTAAAGGACCCGAGAAGCTGTTCCCTTGCAGCGTAACATTGGTTAAAGCAGTCATGTTTTGCAGAACCGAAATTGACCCATGGAGCTTCTCCACTCCCTTTTGCCCGTTAAGCATCAGAACTTGAACACGTGATTCGGAGAAATTCATGGGAAGTTCACCTACAAGCGAATTATAAGACAGTTTCAGAGTCGTCATACTAGGGAACGTTCCCCCGAGAAAATCCGGGATTTTCCCGGAAAGATTGCAGTTGACAGCGGAGAATACTGCTAGAGAAGTCGCGTTTTTCAAACTCGGAGGGATTTCCCAAGAATCAAAAGGATTATTATCCAGAAACACAGACTGAAGAGAACTCAAACCAGTGAAGAAATCAGGGTCGATCGAAGTGAACCCATTGTCATGAAAATTAACTGTTTCCAACGATCTCAACCCAGCAAGACTAGGAATCTTCCCTGTAATATTGTTCTCCATGACCTCGAAAACTATCAAAGACGAGAGGTTTCTGAGATCAATGGGTAACGTTCCCGAGATCCTTAAGCTCTTGATTTGGATATGAGTGACCCGATGGCTTCCGTCGCATTGTACTACCTTCGTCCAGTTACAAGGATTCGATCCTGAAAAGCTTGGTGGAGAATTTAGGGAGGTTTTCAGAGCATTCATAGCCGCCTCATCAAGACTAGATTGTCCGTACACAACGGCGACGAAACAGAGCAGAGACAACAGAATTCTCCAAGTTATCATCATCTTCATCATCAACTAAAAACACAGGAGGCGTTGTGATTGATTAGGGTTTAAGGCTTCAAGGCGGACACAAAAAGGAATAAACTTTTTTATTTTTGGGCGGAGATTTTCTTCTTCTTCTTGACTTGAATGCGAAAGAGAAAAACGAAACGGCAGATTTTGTTGCTTTTTTGGAAATATTAAATTGACTTGTTGTTAAGCGAGGGAAGTGCTTTTATTATATTTCCCATTTTTTGTTTTTGTCAATAAAGATTTGTTTCCTTTTTATCTGACCAATGAAAAGAATGGAGAAAGGACGCAATCTTTCTGTTTTGTCATGGATTTTTAGGCCCAGTATCCTTTTTTCTTTTGAGATACTAGGCCCAGTATCTTATTTGAGTTTCTTCGTTTGCTGAAATAGCATTTTCACAAAATGCATTTGCACTGTTCATCACATTCTTAAACTGAAAAACACCAAAGGAAGAAACTTTTAGGGTCCTTTTTGGAAACATAAATTCTTTAAAAAAAAATATTAGTGGTCTAGTGTATATATTTCGTATACTTTATATCTTTGAAATCATTTTCATGTAAGTGTTTCTCTAATTTCTGTGTTTTCGTGTATTTTTAGTTTTTTTTAACATGTATTGTTTTTTGAAATCACATGGGGTTACAATGTTTTGTAAGTTCATATATAAATAGTCTTAAAGGAGGAATTTTTTGCGATGATCAGTCCTAAATGAGGTTTTTTTTTCTTTAATTAACTACTATATTTATGTATGTGTTGATTGAAATTAGTACTCATGTTTAGATGTCCTTTTTTGTTGCTTTGTTTGCTAGACGACCTACGTTAGTGATTATGTACTTGCATACCCTGCATGATTCATCACATTGATTAATGGATCACATAGTTCTGGTGAAAATGGTACATTTGTGACGAGCCTTGCGTTCACGACATCATATGGGAGAATATCTCAGGATTTTGGTGGTTAGATCAATGGTAACATCAGCCTCTTGTTGGAGCCCAAGGACGGACCCATATCAAAACTTGTTAGGTTCTTTGGAACATTTGATGTTTATATTAGGTCTTTAGGAGCTCGTTTTGACTCGCCGTCTTCCGATGCCAAAAAAATAAACGCAATGTCAGAGATAGTGTCACTTGAAGGTAGTATCAACGTTGGATACCGATTCGACGACGGTGTTTTTGACTAATTGAGGAAAATTACTGTTAAAGAAAACAAGGAAGGCGTGACTTATATCAGGATTGAGGAAAAACACCAACTTCTCCATTGAAATTATATATTTTATGGTATTAATTATAAGAATAACAAGTTTCCTCCCTCCTTGTTAGTGTCATAGTACGTATATTGCACAAGGCCTATTGGCATGGCTAGTTTTTCTTAATTAATTAAGTTTTTGCTGTTTTTCTTCTTGGAGGTCTGTTACTTAAGAAACAATGGGCCTTGTGCCATGTACTAGAACTGGCTTTTAATAATATTATACATTATTTTTAAGAATCAGACATGGAAAAAAAAAACCATTAAAACAAAATAACCTATTGTAAGATAGGTCCGGCCCAAAAATATATTTGAAGATACGTGACTTTCACTTATTGTTTACCTAATTATTCCCAAATTAATAGTCCTAAAGTATATATACTCCTCTTATCCTCGGCCGTTTATCATGGATACTGCCCACAACAAAAACAAATCACTTGTTATGATCAATACAAGATTTTTACTGTGAGTTTCGTGTTTATATATCGTAGGAATATATACATCTAAAGCATGAGTTTTTGTGTGATCTAGGTTAATCTTGCTAATTAACATGAGTGGATGTGTCGTTGATGACCTCATGCAAACGTTCCACCGTTTATTCAACAGGTTAATATTAGGCAATGCATAATAAATTCTTTGAAGACTGGAGTTTCCATAATTTGAAGGGTACATACGAATGATCCAATCCTCTGGAAGCTCAAACGTAGTCCGATCGACTTTGTAAAAATACTATAAACTATCTAAAAACTTTTATAACCGTTTCAATTTAAGACGTGACTCATCAGCTATGGTCAGAATGGATATGTTTTTATAACTATATGATGTCTTCTAATCTCAGGGTTGATTTACTTGTTATATGAAATTAAAATATATTATTGGAAAAAACACCCTAACTTTTACATTATAGCAGCAGCAACTTCATTTTTACTTCTTACTTTAGAAAACATTGATGATTGCACCACACATTGGAAAGTGTACATCAAACTTTGGTGGCGATAAATTTTAGATAATAAAGATTTTTTTAAGCAATGAGAGATTTTCAAAGAAATTATTTTGGATTGCTGATTTCAGTAATGATTTTTGAAGAATTCGTCTAAACTACTCTAAATAATTAGTCGACCACATTGAACTATGAATCAACAATATAAGATTCTACTGAAACTCACTAACACAACTAATTTTTAGCTCTATTTTTCATAGTGGTAGCAGTCCACTAATGATATTTTTTAAGAAAATCGTTCGATTGTCCAACTTCTTTTACCTCGAGGACAAAGTTTTTACAAAGTCTTAAAAATACAAACCAGCAACATAGAAACGATGGAACAATCATTTGTGAAATGTGATTGGAAGCTAATGAATTGAAGTGGGCACAAAGGCCCACAGACAAGTTGGGATGGAAATGGAACAAAAGTGGGCATAGGTCATAATCACTCAACGAATCAAAGACAATAAAGATAAATTATGGAGACACCATTATCTCTTTGTCTTTTGCCACGATCCCAAGATTGATTTTGCCCTGGCTTGAATTGTTCCACACACACAAACCCCTCTTTGAAAAGAGATTCATCAGATGGCAAAAAAAACAAAGAAAAAAATCTTAATTCAAGGCTGTTAACAAAGAAAAATTCCGAAAAATCATTGGTCATTTACGTTTTGTAGTTACTATCAAGTAACAACAACAACAATGACCAACAATATATTTTTCTTTTTGGTTTTGTAGTTGTTAGCAATTAATGGCAACGATTAAATTTGGTTTTCGATAACAAAGTTTAGTGACTGTGACAAAATTTAGCGACTAGTAAAAAAAAATTAGCGTAAGAGTATTTCCTTGATTGATTACGAATAACGTTTTCATAGATGAAGAAAAAAACATAACACCTTATTTTTCACCGCACGAGTGATTAGTAACATATATACCACAGTATCGGAAAAAAGTTTTTAAACTTTGCAAAAAGAAAAGTTAGATAGAAATGAGACAAAGAAAGCAGAGACTTTAAAACCACATGTGATATATCAGAAAAGCACAGCAAGAAATGTCCACATCCAAAAGAAAAGGTAAAGCCGGGGGAATGAATGTATGGGCTCCATGCAACATTATCAAATTCGTTGCTCTCTATTCGTTTTTTTCTACTAGTATGTACTTAAGTGGCCGAGTTCAATTATTATATATTCATGAAAATATCCAAATTAAATGAACAACTATGACGAGTGAGATAAATAATTGAACAATACTATTATGTTTGTTTTGTAACTATAAAATAAACAGTTTGCTTTGCCCCAAAATAAATAAATAAACAGTTTGTTTTTCCTTTATTTTTTCTGCTGTATAAATTTCACATATCTAATTCGAAACTTTTCAAAAATTGATTACTATTCAACTACTAAAGTAACAATATGTGTACTGTTTGTTTTTTGAGAATGATTAATTTCTAAATGTAACATCATATTCATTTTCGATCATCAAAGGAAACTGGCAAGAAAAAAAAAACTAACGTAAAACAAACTGTAACCCAACCCCTATAAAATAACAAAAGAAAGTTGTCAACTTAACAATATATTATGAACTAAATGTTTTCAAGACTTCAAAGGTTTTGTGAACTTTTAAAAGTGATGCGACAAAGTTTGCCTATAGGCTATAGCACATCACAATAAACGCATAATGAACACAACTTTCGAAGACGTGCATACCAACGCCTATACGGCTACATCTTTACGAACACTGTAGTAAAATAATTCAAAATATTTCTTGGTTCAATTTCTATATATATTTAAGAAAAAGCATATTACTTTACTTGATTAATTTAGAAAAGAATTAATTACGGATTTTGCCTTTTTTTATAATGGCATTTGTAGATTTTGCCCTTTTTCAGGTTCTAAAAAAAGGATTTAACATGCGTTTCACTCGTTATGTTTGGGTTTAGTCGGTTCCATTTGTTCTTAGGGTTTAATATTTGGTATAAAGTACGTAGTTTTGCAAAAAATAATCATAAATACGTATATTTTTAAGTGTTAAAAAATGGCAAAATCCGTAAACTATTCAAAAAATAGCATTTTCGTAAGTTTTTTCAAAAAAATGGCATTTTAGACAATAATCCCTTTAGAAAAATATAGGACTACTATTTGGCTAAGTGCCCCTTAAAAAATCGTTGATCTATAGAAAAAAAAAACAGAGGTCTAAAAGTCTAACTGGCAGACACTTTTATTCTCCCATGTGTTTCACCAGACACCATCTCCATGTCTCCAAACATTTGCGTTTCCACATTTGTTTAAACATAACTCTCTCTCTCTCTCTCTTTTCTCTCTCCCTCAGTACCTCTTATTCTTATGCTCTTCTTCACCAATCCTATCTCTTCTATCTGTCTTTATTTTCTCTACATGTGAACTGACCCATTTCTGGTAAACACAAAGAGTACCACTTTTCTTATTTAGATTCTCTTCTTCCTCTTCATAGCTTCCAAGTCAACTACTTCAGCTTCTGTCGGCTGTCTCTCCTCAGATCTCGTAAGCACAGTACCCTCCAAACTTCTTTATCTCTCTCTCTCTTATCTTTGATTCTTGTTTATATCCTTAACTACTTCCTAGGATTAGAACTCCAAAGCTTCATTTTGCTTGGTCGTCTTTATGATTCTTGTCCGAATTCAAGAACTTTGTTTTGAGGTTTTGAAAGTGGTTAGTTACTCTGTTTAAGACTTTACTTACTGTCTCTCTCTTCTTTGTTCAATTCTTTGATTTATAGATTCACAAAATCTCGTTGCTCTGCTTTGACTTTAATATAGGTTCCAGGTTAAGACCAAAAGTTCGAATAAATGACGGAATCTGATGATGCCTCGCGAGAAACACCAGCCAGAGGAGGAGGAGAAGCTTCGTCAAATCAAGATCTGTCCAAACCAGAATCAAACCCTGTCTCACTCGATCTCAAGCTCAACGATAGTTTCAACGATGACACAAAGGGCACAAAGTGTGAAGCAAACCCAAGAGTCTTCTCTTGCAACTACTGCAGACGCAAGTTCTATAGCTCTCAGGCTCTTGGAGGTCACCAAAACGCTCACAAGCGTGAACGAACAATGGCCAAACGAGCAATGCACATGGGAAGAATGTTTGGTCACCATCACAGGCCTTACACATACACTTCTTCTTCCCTTGGGATGCAAGCTCACTCCGGTTTACTTCACCACACCTTATCTCAGCCTCAGCCTCTTGGTTCTAGGTTTCATCATCAAGGCTATTTTGGTAACACCGTGCCATTGTTCTTTGACTATGACGATGGCGGCAGCGACTTCTTCTGGCCTGGGAGCTTCCGTCAGGTGGTTGAGGAAGCTGAGGCTCCGGTGGTGGTGGCGGTTACTGAGCCAGGTCTTGATCTGAACTTGGTTGCGGCGAATGGAGGTGTAGATAATAATAATTCAAAGCCTGATCTTACCTTAAGACTCTAAGGATTAAGGCGATTATCTCTCTTGTTCTTTTTATATTGTTAGACATATAGCAGAAGATAAGTTGGAGACAGTTGATAGAAATTGATGAAAAACTTTGTTGTTATATTAAATGAGGTTGTTCATTGCATTATGGTCTCATTCATACGAGCTCCCACCAGTTAAATCATTAACTAGGAAGTGAAAAACTTGAGGATGTTTGATGGAACAAATTAGGTCGGATATGGTAGTTGATATTCTTATAACTTTATAAGATATGTGAAGAGTTTACTTGAAACAATATCCAAGTCTTCTCCGGATTGATGATAATCTATGTATTTGTTTCGTTCACGGAGCCAAACATGCAAAAACTTCGACCAAAGTAGATTTAATATTTGGACACCTGAACATACAAACCGATTTAAGCCATCTATTTATCATGTATATCAAATTATGTCTTAAACCGACCCTTCATCAAACTAAGGCAATGATGTCTACATTATTTGCAAATTCATTACCAGGTTGTTTTTTTTTTTTTACTTTTTCTTGCATGTTGTGTCTTCACTTCCAAATAAATACTTATTCTTGAACTAAAGTTGCTTAGCTCCGAAGTTCTAATAAAATATACTTGCGAAAATATTCATTTTGGTGCAATATACAGTAGTCGGTAAAATTCTTGTAATTCCTTTTTCTCTCATATGCTCTGTATTTACTGTTTCTTTTTTGGCTGAACAATAACTTCACTAATCAAATCTTATTTGTTTGCTTGGTCCATATGAAGAAATTTTGAAATTTTTGTTTAGACAACCAATATTACCAACGTGTATCTTTTATTAAGTTCTTTATAAGAATAAATCAAATAAAACTATATACAGTAAAGTACGGCCAACTCAAATAATTATAGGATGTGTGATAAGGTACAGATAGTGTATCTAGTTTTTTATATAAAAAAAAGTAATGATCCATAGGCCGTGATTGTGCCGAGATTTGTGGAGACATTCGGACGAAATTGCTTGATACTATTACAAAATCATTATTTATGCTAATAAATGCAAGTAATCAACATCTAGTGTATATTTCTTTTGTCCTTATATACACCCAATTGCTTGTTTAAATATTAATAATCATTTTGACTTTGGAATGAGAATTCTAATTTCTAAAGTTCTGATTATGATGTTTTAACAATTCAAATGACAGAAATTAAATGATCATGCAAAATCTGTTATCCATCATCCACTAGTTAATTTAATCATACAACAAGAGAAACGGTCGATATTGGAAGAGCAGTACTTACGCATGACACAAAAAATGTCAAATATTAATTTAATTGCTATCCATTTTTTAATTATGGATTTACATAAAACTGAGAGAGTTTTTAGGAAATCTTCCAGATTTAGTTGACAAAAAATCCAAAATTAGCTAGCGATTAAGAGAATCATCCGCTTCCTTTGGGAATACGAATATCTCTCTAAATCCGAATCTCTTTTCTCATTGTGTGATTTTGGAACAAGAAGAACAAAATGTTCAACAAAAACAAAGGATCCAACGGTGGTTCATCTTCCCATGGCGGCATCGGAGCTGATTCACCTTACCTTCAAAAGGCACGTTCAGGCAAAACAGAGATCAGAGAACTCGAAGCAGTTTTCAAAAAATTCGACGTGAATGGAGATGGTAAGATCTCGTCAAAGGAGCTTGGTGCAATAATGGCGAGTCTAGGTCATGAGGTACCAGAAGAAGAACTAGAGAAAGCGATCACTGAGATAGATCGTAAAGGAGATGGTTACATAAACTTTGAAGAGTTTGTGGAGCTGAACACGAAAGGTATGGATCAGAATGATGTTTTGGAGAATCTGAAAGATGCGTTTTCGGTGTACGATATCGATGGTAATGGTTCGATATCGGCTGAGGAGTTGCATGAGGTTTTGAGGAGTCTTGGTGATGAATGTTCGATCGCCGAGTGTAGGAAGATGATTGGTGGTGTTGATAAAGATGGTGATGGTACGATTGATTTTGAAGAGTTTAAGATTATGATGACAATGGGATCTAGACGTGATAATGTCATGGGAGGTGGTCCGAGGTAGAGTTTCTTTCGTGGACATTGCTGAAACTGAATTCTCTGTTTCTTCTTCTTCGTTTTCGTCGTCATTGTTTATTATTCCACCATTGTTTCAATCTTTTTCATTTGTTGTTGTTGTTTTTGTTCTTTGGGATTTGTAATCCCCTTCAAACTAACGTGAATTTTTAAAAAAATTTAATTTATAACTCTCTTTTTTTGTTTTTGTTTTTGTATTCAGTTCTGCTTTAGGACTTGAATAATTTGAATGCATATACAGTGAAAATGATGTGAATAAATAATAACCAGAAATCTCATTTTTTACTATATATTAGAAGCTAATTTCTTTCACATATGTCTATTGCATTTGTTTCGAATGCTAGTTTTTGGGTTTTCCTTTACACCTGAAAATTATGAAGTTGATAATTGAACATCAAATTCAAAATGTAACATTTTTTTTGGTAGGCATCAAAATGTAATATTTGTTAAATCATTGGTGTTTTAATTCAATTATCTACTTAGTAAAGCCCATTGATGACGAAAAACAAACTAAAAAGCCCATTAGCATTATAAAACGAATATTGAAAGTAGTTTCCCTTTAACAATGGACCCAGGCGTCTAACCCGACCCGAATAAAAAACTAAACCCGGTCCGGATCTTCATCCTCGAGCAACACTGAACCGGGTCCGCTTCGTCGGAACTCATGGCCAATTCGAAAATGGCGATGACTTCTCTAGCAGCTCAAATTCGTCCCTTCACATGTTTGGCCGCGTCTCAGCCGTCGCGGTTGGCGTCTCATCCACCAGACCTCATCCGGTGGATCAAGAGAGAAGGTGGTTTCGTTCACCACGCCGTCAAGCTCTCTCAGGAGACTCAATTTGGTATCGGCCTCATTTCCACCGAGCAAATGTCTCCAGGCACCGACTTAATCTCTCTCCCTCCTCACGTTCCCTTACGCTTCGAATCAGATGATGCGTCATCGTCATCGTCCTCTCTCCTCTCCGCATTGGCCCGTCGTGTTCCCGGTAAGTGCTAATCCGTTCCTAAATGAATCTAAAGCTTAGCTTATAGGATTCTGTAGAATTTGGTTGATTTTGTTAGAGTTACTGATTTCGAGAAATTTGGCAGAAGAACTGTGGGCAATGAAATTGGGATTGAGATTGTTACAAGAAAGAGCCAATGCAGATTCTTTCTGGTGGCCATACATCAGCAATCTCCCGGAAACTTTTACTGTTCCTATATTCTTTCCCGGAGAAGATATCAAGAACTTGCAATATGCTCCTCTTCTTTACCAGGTTAGATAGACTGCTGGACTAATCTAGATGAGTCGCGTTCTATATCATTTCCTCAGATGATGCAGATTTGTTGTGTTGTTTTGGGACCAGGTCAATAAAAGATGCCGGTTTCTTCTTGAGTTTGAGCAAGAGATTAGACGTACTCTTGAAGATGTTAAGGCTAGTGATCATCCTTTCAGTGGCCAAGATGTAAATGCATCCGCTCTCGGGTGGACTATGTCAGCTGTTTCGACTAGAGCGTTTCGCTTACATGGTAATAAAAAGCTTAAAGGTGGATCTTCTGATGATGTTCCCATGATGCTTCCTCTGATAGATATGTGCAACCACAGCTTTAAACCAAATGTCAGGATCATTCAAGAACAGAATGGAGCTGAGTCAAATACTCTAGTTAAGGTTTGCGTTTAAGATTTCTGTTTTCAAACTGGATTTTGTTTAACTGAATGGAAATGATGTTTCTCTTTTTGTTGTGCATCAGGTTGTTGCAGAGACTGAAGTCAAAGAAAATGATCCTTTGTTACTCAATTATGGCTGCCTTAGCAATGATTTTTTTCTTTTGGACTATGGATTTGTGATTGAATCAAATCCATACGACACCATTGAGCTTAAATACGATGAACAGCTCATGGACGCTGCAAGCATGGCGGCTGGTGTTTCTTCCCCAAAGTTTTCTTCACCGGCTCCATGGCAACATCAGTTGCTTTCCCAGTTAAATTTAGCCGGGGAAATGCCAAATCTGAAGGTTTCAAACCGTCATTTCTCTGTCACGATATTTAAAAGTAGTATTTATTTCCGAGAAGAAGAATCAGAGGAGGAAACTGAACCATTTCTCTAATTGTTTTCTTCTTACACTAATAGGTAACCATAGGAGGCCCAGAGCCAGTAGAGGGACGACTATTGGCGGCGATAAGGATACTGCTTTGTGGTGAAATGGTGGAAGTAGAGAAGCATGAATTAGACACACTGAAATCTTTATCGGCCATAGCCCCTCTTGGAATTGCAAACGAGATTGCCGTTTTCCGCACTGTAATCGCTCTTTGTGTGATTGCATTGAGCCACTTTCCAACAAAGATAGTGGAAGATGAGGCTATAATCAAACAAGGTGTTTCAGCCACAGCAGAATTGAGTATCAAGTACCGAATCCAGAAGAAATCAGTGATCATAGATGTCATGAAAGACCTCACCAGAAGGGTTAAGTTGCTATCGTCTAAGGAGACACCAACTGCTGCATAAGAACCATATCCTGTAAGTTCTCTAGGCTTCGCTTGTTTCAAACGTCAATTTCCAAGATGAATATGTTTAAGGTTATTAATTTTGAAAAAATATAGCGAGAGATATTTCTCTATGAACTAGCTGGTTTCCCTCAAGGATTAGATTACATGAATCTTGAACTAGAGAAGGGAGATTAAAATGAGAGGCAAAAGATATGTTGTTTCTGGATATTAAACAGAAGACTCATCATATTAACCAAAGATATTTACATTGAAAGATAAAGAGAAACCCCAATACACAGAGGATCACCTATTTCTATATCTCTCTTTTTGTTATCAATTCCCAACGGGGATGGATCTCTCTCGCTCTCCTAAACCGAGGGGAGAACGGGAACGCCGTGGACCCATGATCTCACGGAGCACCAACGGCATCTCAGGCTGCTTTAGTGACGGGTGTTGTATCTTCTCAAACTCTCTCTTGATTTTCACGACTTGGCTATGGATAGGAGGAACACTCTCATGCCCATCATCTCCATGATTGGCCTTCTTCTCCATTACAAATTGGCAGTAAAACCAGAAGAAGAAGAAGATCTTCTTCTTATGATGTTTTTATGATGTATGCGTTGTCTATGCACGCGGGATGCGTGTTTATAATTATAATCTTGAACCAAAGTTAGTGTGAGAAAGTGGACACGAGTTGTTGATGAAGTAGAAGGGAAGTTAGGTTGGTGGGCAACGCCAAATTAGTCTCTTACACATATCTCTCTCTTTGTGTGTCAATAATATATAATTAAGACAAATTTGTAATGGTGATGTATCTAAAAGCAAAGAAGAGTCGTATCATTCTTCCTTGTAAACATCATGAAAAAGAGGGTCGGTGTTGGGTGAAATTGTGGTTACGTGTCGGCAACAAAGCTAGGACACTTGTGATTTTGTGATCATTACTGGTACGCAAATTCTTTCTACAACCGAAGACCAAGATTCTTCAAAGATTATTTAACCTTCTTTTTTGTGGGGTTCCAAAGTTTAGAAGCTAAACAAATTAAATTGAGAAGAGTTGTTTGAAAAGTTGAAAATGACTAGAAACTACTTTCTCCGTAGGAATTGCTTTTGTTTGACGGTAGAAGACTCTAATTGGGATCATTCTTGGATATCAAATTAAACCAAAACCATAGCATCCCTTAAAAATTTATAATGAGGTAAACAAATATACAATCGAAATCATGTTCCAAAGTGATCTCGAGAAAATAAAAAACAATGACCGTAGGAGATTAAAACCGCATCCAAGGTTGGGAGTGTCAAAATTTGGACAGAGCATCAAATCACGGTAAGAAAAATCTCTGATTACTTTCAGAATTTCAGATCAATCCCACGCTCTTGAGTGGAGCCCATAAGTCCATCAAACTCAGATGTGATAGACAACCACGTCACGTGGATCTTTTGTTTCGTTCTTTTCCATGTAGAAAATCGTAGCCGTTCGATTTACGGTCAAACATACGATTTTAGATTCGGCGGCGGGTCTTATCAGTTTCCATCTTTGCTCGAGGATTTGCTTTAGACCGGAAAATAAAAAACATTCGATATTTGTGTTTCCGTTGTTACTAAAAAGACCAAAGAAAAGTCTTCAAATTCTATATGTATCTTATATAGAATTCATTACGTACATTATAATTCATTGACTTAATTATTAAAAACTAGAAAAGCAATGTTTTTCATTTGTCTTGCTCTAAAAGACTAGAATTCTTATAAAATTATTTGCTCTTTTACTACAGGAGAGTTACTCTGCCAAAAATAAATAGATTTCCAAATGATGACAAAAAAGAAATTCCAAATGCGTGTATCATCTAGATATAAAGCTATAAATAAGGTATAGCTTTATAAACATAGGGGACAAGTTGTTCAGAAGAGGTGTGAGGTAACTCTCAGTTCAACAGTTAATTATTTTTTTAGTTATTTGTAGAACAACCGGCAACGGTCTCCAAAATAAATCAAATGATAATAATTAATCAATGGTAGAGTCGAGAATAGGAAATTATGGAGCCCCGTTGAAAACTGTTTTTTTTTTGGCCCTTGAATTAGTAAGTTAATGGTCTGATCGATCTCCACCACAAATAATACATACGTGCGTTGAAAGATCACGTGAAAGCAAGTATTAATGAATGGTATATACGTGCGTGAATTGGTAAAATTGGTGTAGGTTTAGGTTATAATTTAGATATGGTGTACGATTAAGAGGGGACCAAAATCTGTGCTTTTAATATCCATATCTTTCTTGCGACCCCTTTTTCTAGGGCATTCATATAATTGTTGATAACAGCTGCTAGCAGGAGGAATCGAACCATGGAGAGGAGGGAGTTGCACCCAACCACCCTGGGCCCGCTAAGCCACCAGCCCACCATCATGTGGGTAACGAGACATTGGGTTTCCAAGTATTGCAAATGAAAATTGAAAGAACAATATGGCAAAAAGAAACTGAAAATGCGATCAAGTACGGTGGTACAATTGAAAGTTTTATTTTAATAAAAAGAACACTGATCATTTTTTTTTTTTTTGATGT